TTAACTTGCCACGCGGAAGTAACTTGAGATACCGGCAATTGTGTGTGGTTGTGTAGTTCCAAGGCTTTGGTGCTTGTAAACGCTGTTGGTGAGTAATTGGTGCATAAAACGTGGGTTTTAATGGGTGTTTTTGGAATCTGGACAACATTTTCGTGTATCGCACAATATTAGCCCAGGGCTAGTAGATCCCTTGTCTGTCCCAGTTAGTATTGAGAGATTCAGTCTGTTTCAAATTGGGGCAGAATCGGGATTTGGGGTTGTATATCTGAACAAGGAACAAGGTTTTTTTAAAATTATGGCAATGTTTATTGTTTCGCAAGTAATATAATTTATATACAGGGTGTTTCAGTTTATTGTTGCATAACTTTAAGATTCGATAGAACTTTTAAAATTAATGCATAAAGTCTATATAAACATGGGTCGAAAAATGCGTGGCTTCCGAAATACAGGGTGTTTAAATTTACTTTCTAAAATAGTTTTTTTAAATATTTTGAACAATATTTGATGTATAATAGTGAAAATTGGTATACAAAGGTTTTTTGGTACGACAAAACGAACCATGGGCATAGTTTTACTGTAGCCGCTAGAGGGCGCTCTCTACTGTACCTGTAGTGTATTAAAATGACCAAAAATTTTTTCTTAGTGCAATTTTTTGCTTTTTGAATAAAAAAACTGATTCTTCGCACTTTTCAACAGAAAAAAGCTCTCTTGTGAATTTTAGTTATAGTTAGCCGTTTTTGAGATATTTCGATTTCGAATGCAGATCTGCAGTGCAGGCGAGCACCCCATTCCGTGATATGCTCTGGAAGGACTATTTAATTTTTTCGCTCACAAAAATCACGACTATTAAATGTCTCAAACTTAAGTATGTATATGTTTAGATATCAGACTTGGATTCTTCGATTAAAGATTAACCTATACATTTTACTGTCCAGTTAGGTTTAAGTAATTAACTGTGTTATGCTTTTCTGCTTTTTTCGATCAATGCACTATTTATTGAAAAATAGCATATCGATCGAAAAATAATTAAATATTTGCATCGAAAAAATCATCAAGCTGATAATAATGATAGCATCAGGTAAATAGTGGAAAATGCAAAACATTCTGTTTATTTGGCACTGTCTGCATTTCAGCCTCCGCAGTTCACATTGCAACCGTACACGCGACGTGATTACGCGACATTGTTCTAACATTGTAAAGTCTGTGAAAAATTACAACAATGGAGTTAAATGGTGAGCTAATTGTAATAAGTAATTTTCCTGTAATTAAGATTGCACACAGCTTGCTTTGTTCGTACACAGTTAAAATAGGTGAACTGATCTGTTTCTGCTTCGTTTTTTGCTACTACCTAAGATTAATAGAACTGGATATCATGGAGGAGAGCCCGTTGACATAATACAGCACTCTGGATAATGTAGGGACCGGGGCGGAAGGACCCCAAATATGTGAGCAGTACTCGAGGCCTGGTCTTAACAGGGCCTCGGTAGAGTGTGGAGGTAATGTGAAATGAGTTCGTGCCAGATGAAGATCTCGGTGATCTAGAGAGCTCTGTACCAGATTGATCGTACTGGAAAGGAGACCATTGATATGTAAACTAGCAATGTCTAGGTGGTGGTCTAGTGTAAGAGTAGCATGTTGCTAAACTTCGCCACCATATGCAACTCTTGTTTCTGTATGAAGTACAGTTTAAATAAAGACGATTATTATTATTATTAAAATTTCGAAACAGAAAATTGGAGCTCATGGGCGATTCTTATTTTCAGTGACAAGAAAAAGAATGGAGCAAATTGTTATTATAATTCCAGTTCCATTCCGATCATGAGAATCCAGGCAGCATCGCAGAATCTGCACACTTGCTCTAAATTAAAATTGACCTCAGTAGAAAACATGTCCACCACAAGCAGATCATGCGGAGCATCTCAAAATCCATTTAGAGAGAAGGCTTACATGACTGCAATATCACCATCCTTCAGCAGATCCAGAACAATATCCAGAGAATGATCGCCGTTTATGTTTTCCTATCACTCGACCTTTTCTATCTGAAGTAGGAGAATTTCTCACTAAAATAATTCGTTTATCTATCGGACATTCCAAAAATATATGTAGCTACCTCACAATAGGTACCCTCATTATAAGTCGATTTGCTTTGAAGAAATTACAAAGTTTATCCAACATAGCTTACAACTATTCTACACACGAGTGAAACTAAGAGTCGGTACCTAAAATCGTGTTGTCATCAGCATAAGTGGTCGATTAAGTACTAAAATCAAAACTGCTGGCAAGTCATTGATAGAAATCAAAAATAGTAAGGGCCCTAAAATTGAGCCTTGTGGAAGTCGTATATAAACACTGTTTTCTTTTGATAAAGTGCCATTAATGTCAACACCTTGTTTTCTGTCATGAAGCCAGTAAAACCTTTTGCCATATGCATCTTTTAATCTGAATATTGAAATTGTTGAATATGTACAACAAAGTCAATGCTAATTAATCAGCTGGCACCTCGTTTGGTTTTTTGATTAATTTTTTTATTGATTCAAATATCTTATTTTGAGCAGTTTAGCACAAAATAATGCTTAAATTGAACGACAAATGTTTTGGGAACTCAAAATTCGAATCTTATATTTCCTTATATTTTTGCAACGCCCTATAAGGTATGCTCTGAATGTATCATTATTTTGCAGAAAAATAAATATTACATGATATAAGTCAAAGGGAAAATTAATGTTATGCGCCCTTTTTACTTTTTTTCGGTAACTTTTTTAATGATTCCATTCTACCAACTCATGTTTTCAGTCTCGCTTTAAAGGGGAACAGCATTTTGTATGCAAATGCACTAAATTTTACTTTCCAGGCCAATTCTATGTTATGACGAAAATGTAGAAAAACCTAATATACATGTCCGGACACATTTTCAGCATATTTACGCTCACCACAATATTACTCTATTTAGCTACGTAATTCACCACAGAATTAAATGTCAAATCCGAACTGGCATACATTTTTGTGGATTTTAACTAAATTTCAAGTTGATCTGGAAGGTCAAATTTAGCAATTGCATGTGAAATGCTGGTTCCTTTTAAGCAGAGCGCATGTTGTACAATATCAGTTGGTGAGATTAAATCATTAAAAAGTTACCGAAAAAATGTAAATAGGGTACATAATGTTCATTTTCCCTTTTGTTAATATTTTTTGCGAGATAATGAATCCAAAGTATCACTTACTAGGCGTTGCACTTAATAAAACGCCAGGAAATAAAAAATGGATAAGACCCTGGAATTTTAAATTTCCAAAACAACTTATGAGAACAAAAAGGGTGAAGAGAATCAGTGTCAGAATGTTTAGATAGATCACCCTGTATATCCGTAAAACCTGAATTTAGAACTTCTTTATTTTCAGATCAATCACCCTTCCGTGATCAATTAGTTTTGCTGAAGATAAATTAACAAAGCGGTATATTGTAATAAAAAAATACTTGCAGATTGTCGTACTTTATTTTTCCTAAATATGTACTTACACTGTTTCTATGGCTTCAATTTGCATCTTAAAATCACCAAACCCTTGCGGAAAGTGCTGACAAATGCTCAAAAATGACAAGTCTATATCGGTTTCCACTTGGTATTATCAAAATTTGATATTTTCTAATATGAACGTATCCAAAAATGTTAACACGGTTAAAAAAAGGTAAATCTAGCCAAGAAGCCATAATGGAATTTATCAGTCAGAATCAGTTCTCGAACACATTCAGCACTTGTATTCGTCACAGTTCGTTACAAATTGTATAGCAAAGACAAAACTACCAGAAAAAATTGTTAAATTCTGTTCACATTTTTTATGCAAAATTTGAGGTTTTTTAAAAGTTTTGTACCTATGGCGGGCTTATTCAACCTTTTAATCATAACCATATGCATAAAAATAACTATAAGTATATATAGTCACAGTATAAGTTTGAAGCGTGTTTATACAAATGATAGAGCATTCAGAAAATATAATTTTGTTGGTACACAAAGTTGCTTTAAATGATTTATTGTGCAGTTGAACAATAAGCAAAATAATAAGAGTATTGTAACTCCCTGTATAGTGCAGTAGGTCACAGTTCGAGTTCTATTATATATTGTCAAATTGTAGGTTAGGTATGTCTTCAGTTAGTTGTCAAGTGGTAGGTTAACTGACAGTTTTGACACATGCATTTAGTAATGACGTTTCATTCATAAGAATAGTCGTAAGAGTTAAAAGTTACGAACTTCAGCTATGATAATACTGATGCTAATGATTGTGATAATTTGTATAAATGTGTTTATAAGACATACTCTTATGCTTATATCTACGATTCTGACTGTCACTATTGAAAGGTTCAGTCTTTAGTTATAACGTAGAATGACGTACATGGGATTAATTTAGGTACAACCAGTAGCCACCTTTCTCTAAATATTTTAGCCTATATGTTGCCATCAGTTACACATACTACATAACCTAAATTTTCAACTTTTTGAGCAATCAATCGCTACTCCATTTATTTAAAATGCGTGTAGAATAATTATGAACATTACAAGCCTTTGACAAAAAAACAAGTATAAGTTAAATTTGATTCTTATTATATTGCTTGTTCCAGGCATGACATTCAAAGTAGACACCGTCATTATGTCGATCCCGACCTACAAGAACGTCAAATCCTGCATGACTGTCTTCTGCCTTAACGTATGCTTCTTCTTCATCATCTTCTTCATGGTTCTGCGGTTTGCGCTGCAGAACTTGAACGTTGTCAACGCTGTAGACGTAAAGAAATCTAGATGTCTGCTTTGCTAACGATCAGTCAGCTGTTAAGTGGTATCTCGAACAAGACTGAATCTTACCTACATGTACTTACCTTTATATTTGCTTATTGTACTGCTGTGATAATAAAACTATAATGCACTTGTCATTTTTTTCAGGAAAATAGTGGAAATATATGAGTTTTAAGAATTACTGGTGGTTGTATAGTTTTATATTTTATATTTACTTATATTTAAGTTGAAAGACTCAACTGTATGATCACGATCAAATACGTAGTGACCGTGGAAAACAAAGAAGACAACAAATGCTGATTGACTTGATAAAATCCACCCGCCGAGAAGGTCGGTATCAATTCCTTGGCAGACCTGGCGATATCCATCAGCTCTTTTCTCGTCGAGCAACAACCAATGATGTATGGAAGCCATGGAAGTTTTCTAAACAGCAACGTCGACGTTGTGATTGCGTTCTTTTTTGCGGCCTCGCAGGCTAGCGTCAAGGCTGTTGTTGAACACTGGAAAAGGACCATCATAGTCGGAGTGACACAAATTAAAGGTTAGACGAAACGGGTGGTACATAAATTTCAAGAAAAAGATATGTGTAGATATAAAAACAACTGTCATAATTTACAAAAGCATCGCATAACGCTAAAGTGGTTTGTTCTCCTAATATCCAAATACCTATTGCTAAAATATATAAATATTTCTCCTGTAGCGGTGTGTCAGTAACGACAGGCTTTATTCGAAAACTTGAAATGCTTTCATCTTCATTATAAATAATGATTTAATGTCTAATTCGCTTTATTAACATCTAAATAAAGCTTGTCTTGAATTTTTTTTATTCATTTATTTAAACCATAATATATGTATGGAACGTTCCCCTGCCAATGTCTAGAACCTCATCATAGCCGGCACGGGTATCATGTAAAAAATCTACAAAACGTCAAAAAAACCTATAAGATGTCAACTTGCAGACTAGGTAGTTTTTAGGACGTAAACAGTCATTCCACGTTTGCTCACTAGGATCGTTGTGAACGTCCATCGATGAAGGAATCATACGCATTATTGGTTGCATAGTTTTGTGAGGCTAAGTGATCCGGGTCTGTAGTTTTTATCTCTCCGAAGAAAGTTGGTGGAATAGCAAGATCGCATCTGGATGATTATGTGTCTCATTACTGAATATGTTGAATATGACGGGTTATTTATATGTTGTGCTTTCTGAAGAGAGGTTATGTTCAAAGTTATAAATTACGAAAAACTGAGGAGAATTACGGGAAATCATGTATATATGGCTTGTACTTCGACAGTGTACAGTGAATATAATTATTCCTGATCTCTCTCATTTTTGAAATTCAGCAAATTTGTATATGTAATTTCCAGAATGGATAAGAAAAAGTGAATGCGCAACTAGCTGTGAATCTCAATTAAGTGTATTTGAGACAAGAACCCAATGTAATCATCATCAACACATACAACTTACAGCTTTATATCTTGTTGAAAAACCTACATAATGTCAAAAAAAAACAGCATAATGTCAAAAAAAATCGACATAATGTCACTTTTCAAGATACGTGATACCCGTGCTGTAGTGTCGGATAAGCTTTATTTAACCCTTAATTACTCGCATGAAGAACATTACATAACTGCTCGCATGGGGTCACAGGTGACCCCAAGTTGTAGGATATTTTTTTAATATACATTAAATATAAAATGAAATCAAACTATTTTATTATTAAAGTGCTTTATTTATATTATGATATTTAAAAGAAATAACATGGATATTTATCTAATGAAAAAAATTAAGCTTATATAAAATAATAGTTGAAAATTAACAATTTGTACTTATATCAAGAGATCAAGGCAAATTTTTATGATTATGTTAGGAACTATCCGAATCACTTTTCTTGCACTGTTGACAGTATATGTCTGAGTGATCATTGCACACAAATTTTGTGCACTTTTTGCATTTAGTCGATACTTTTCGATCACTTTTCCGCGGGCAGTTGTTGCAACGCCCACGTTTTGCAGTGGTTGGTGGGGCGCGGTTGTCCAAGTCATGCACTTCTATAAGTCGTTTCTTTATTACCTTAGGAGTTGAATGGACATCAAGCCGACGTTTCTGGTGATTATGGACAAGTTCAACGGACAATTGCCGCAAAAAATTACGCCTCATGTGAGCACGTGATTTAGTGGTATTTGCCCGATGTACAACGAGAGCATTTATGCCTGCAACGTTTATAAGATGGAAGAAAATGGCTAACGGCCATCGTTTGGTTCGCCTTCCTACGCTGTATGTACCACACAAATGATCATTGGTGTCCACTCCTCCTTTAGTGCTGTTGTAATACATAATTATTTCAGGCTTCTGCTGATCACCTGAATCTGGGTCGATGTGAGCTCCATGGTGCATGGAGGATAACAACACAACAGCTTGATTTGGTTTTTGCACATATGAAACCATGGTTAGTGTCTTTTGAAATCCGAACAGAGAGCTGAATTGACTTCTAGTTCTGTCTGGTAAAAACTCCTTAGGTATATCAGGTTTGTTTTTCTTCAGTGTTCCAACTAAGGTGAGCTTGTAAGGTGGATACAATAATTCAGTTGCAAGTTTCACGTTCGTATACCAATTGTCTGTGGTAATATTACGGTTACTACCTTTTATCGGCTCTACAAGACGTCTTACTATGTCATTAGGGCTGTTTGAGACCTGGTATGGACCCGCAGGCTGCTTTCCAGAATAAACCTCAAAAGCTAGCAAATAAAAAGTTTTTGAGTCAACCATAGCTTGGATTTTTATGCCGTATTTATTCGGCTTACTTGGCATGTAAACTTTGCCTTTGAAACGGCCACGGAACCCAATCAATTGCTCATCAATAGTAACATTTTCACCCGGCGAATAGGCTTCTTGAAATTTCGCTTGCAACATGTTACAGATCTCACGTATAGCTGCTAAGTTATCAATTTGCAAACGTTCAGCTCGAGTTGTTCTATCATCAAATCGAAGGCATCTTAGTAAAAACAGAAAACGTTGATAACTCATTGTCAGGCGAAACATCTCTACACCGGTTCCGTTGGTGGCCCAGAGATCTATGAAATTGAGATGTGAAGCTCTCAACACTCCAGACATGATCAACAAACCCAGCAATGCTTTCATTTCTTCAACGTCTGTATCTTTTGCGTCACGTTCCCTTTGAAACTTGCCTCTGACTACTTCGATGTACTGATTTGTACATGTTACCAGCAAATTGATAATGTCATCAGAAAAAAACAAACTAAAACATTCCAAAGCAGTCTTCGCGGATTTCGCTGATGACTTGACACCGGGTAAGTGTAAAATTATATTATGGCTTCGTGTTCTTGTGGAGCTTGTTGGTGGAGACTTTGACCATTTTTGTTTAGGACCGTTTCTGCCATTATGTCTGGTAAAATAGAATTTATCATACTGCCCTGCACAGCCGTCGTCCTCGTTGTCTGAAAACTCACTGGAGTGTGCGGACAGTTCGTCGATTTCACTAGCACTATTATGATCGCTTTGTGTTATCTCGTCTCCGACTCAGAATTTGACCCTCCAACTTGTTCTTCATCAGAAGCCTCAACCAACCAATTCTCAATTTGTTCTCTTCTATCCATGACGAATTCTGGAAACAGATACAAAACTCATAGCAAAACGTAATTTTTCGGTACTTTTATTTTATAAAACTACACAAAACATATTTATTAAATAAATTTATAAACTGGACATACAATAATACAAATCGGATCAATAAAACACAAAAAAATACATAAAATAAGCAACTTACCTTTTTCAAAAAAGTAACGTAATTAGTCGCACGGGGTCACTGCTCAAGAGCGCAACGACGTGTCTTTAGACTCCTGTGACATCGTCGCTACTAAAACACAAACGTCGACGCGCGGTTTCAAGCTAGCGGGGGCGCGGGAAAATTCGGTCGGCGGGAAATCCTTCGTTTTTGAATGCGAAACTGCTTTGACCCCATGCGAGTAATTAAGGGTTAACCTAGCGAAAGTTTAGGAGACAACAATCAGCTTTGCCCCTAAAATTAACACCGGCATGCCTTATCAGATTAAAGTATATAAACTTACAGCATAAAACACCGGATAAGCTGTGATGTATATTACATAAGGTCCCAGGTTGAACTCGGCCTTTTCAGCGTTGTTTTCAGTTAGAAAAGCAAAGTTTGCGCTGTTCAACAGCGATAGTACTGTACTGATCAAAATGAAGAATATCTGCCAGCCATATACGTCATTGAACGTTTCTGATAAATAGTACAATTTTCTATGCACTGAGTAAAGCTCTCGAATTTCCCGTAAAATATCATCCTCATTGTGAACATATTTGAAAACTTCGATGAGTCTCTTGTTCAAGAACTGGTAGCGTCTTTTCATGATCCTTGCGATACAGCATATTGACAGTAAGTCGAAGAACTGCAAATACATGACGATTCTGAAGGAGATATACATGTAGGTGAGGTCGGTGTTGTCCTCTTCCACCCATAGAATGTTTTCGACAGCATGTAGTAAGGTTATTCCTAAGTGGTAGCAGAATATTTCGAGACACATGAGGAAGATGCTTTTGGTTACTGTGAATTTTGTTTGGCTGAGTTTTTCTTCGATTTCATTAAGCTCTTGTAGGAAATGTTTCCAGTTTACTGTTTTGAAGCCATTTTCATAAAAGCAAGCTGAAAATATACAGGGTAGTTTAGAATTTTTGCAGGAAAAATGGCGTCAAGTAGGTTGACTCTGCATTTCCCACGCAACGCCGTAATCAGCACTTAGGAGTTTTGTACAGGTTTGACCATTATTGAAATGAGGCAGTTCCATATAGACCTTATATTCTAGATAGAAGACGGACTATTTCGTTCGTAGTCCCAGAGACCAAGCCTAGACCATGCTGATGAGTTCCTAAAAAACCACGAAACAACCCAGTGGACAAGATTACTCTAAAATGACGTTTTCGGTCACTTTAGGTCGAAAACTAAAAAATGAAGTCTTTATTGACCCCATTTTTATGACTACAACAAGGCGTCCTTCAAAAGGTTGTCATTTTGACATCTCCTTCAGAACAGATAGTATTGAAAAATCAATACTTACCTACAAAGAAAATATAGACTTTTAATTAACAGTAAGGTACACTGGATATCCAAATACTAATAACTAATTTATTGTTATTTATAACAAAGTTTCAGGAATTCTTCGACCAAAAATATATTGTTAATATGACTTCTCTAATAATGCTATTTTATATTTCACAATGCCATTTTACATCATGTTTATAACAAATTTAATAGAAACGCCTCTGAATAACAATAAACAAGGCTTACTATATTATACAGCGTGCCACAAAAGTCCCGGAACGCCACGGATATCATGTAAAGAACCTATAAAACGTCAAAAAAACCTATACGATGTCAACTTGCAGACTAGATAGTTTTTAGGACGCAAACAGTCATTCCACATTTGCTCACTAGGTTCGTTGTGAACGTCCATCTATCGAGGAATCACTCAACTATACTATACGCATTATTGGTTGCATAGTTTTGTGAGGCTGAGTGATCCGTGTCTGTAGTTTTTATCTCTGAGAAGAAAGTTAGTTGAATAGCAAGATCGCATCTAGATGATTATGTGAATTGGTCTGCATGTGTATAGAATCAGTGATATTTGCTGTGTTTGAAAATCATTACTAAATATGCTGAATATGACGGGTTATTTATATGTTGTGCTTTCTGAAGAGAGGTTATGTTCAAACTTATCAATTACGAAAAACTGAGGAGAATTACGGGAAATCATCACCGCGCCCGCCTTGTGTGTAATTACTGTTAGCATGTATATGGCTTGTACTTCGACAGTGTAGAGTGAATATAAATTATTTCTTATCTCTCTCATTTTTGAAATTCAGCAAATTTGTATATGTAATTTCCAGAATGGACAAGAAAAAGTGGATGCGCAACTAATTTCTAGCTTTGAATATCAATTAAGTGTATTCGAGACAAGAACCCAATGTAATTATCATCAACACATACAACTTACAGCTTAGACCTCCAGTAATGCCATCTCAGAAGCAGATTTTACATCACATCAGAGCCAAAGATTGATAACAAGCCTCATGACGTTTAGGCAACACGTACAACTATGTGCTAAGTTAACATCTTGTAGAAAAACCTCCATAATGTCAAAAAACAGCATAATGTCACTTTTTAAGATACGTGATACCCGTGCGGCTCTGTATTTTCTTGGGCAAGGTATTTTTGGAAAATATCATTGTCAGGTATTCAGTAACTTTCATCAAGGAGTTCAATTTTATACGACATTATATATGATGACGTCAATTGGGTCTAATATTACATTAGACCGTCATCATGATGTCATTTATACGTCATTTTTGTACAGTAGTGCACTAAAAATATTATGACGTCACAGCATATTTGAGTTAAACCCTCTGAGAAAAAAGTTAGTTAGGAACATGTATGAAATGGAAATTAAACGGATTAAGTCTATCAAGCAGTACTACCTACCTATGACAAAATAATATTCACAGAAACACTCAGCGCTGTCCAAAAATACCTGTGGGACAGAAACATTCTTGTATAGGCTAAGACGACAGTAGAATGAGTACACCGTCAAAGCTGTAAAAATAATTATCAAGAAGATCGAGTAGGCTTTTGTGAGATATTTGCGAAAACCTCGATCACTAACAAAGAGTGGAGTCAGACCAATCAGCTTTCCAACTTTGTACAGCATATTGAACATAGAAACATCTTTTTTCGTCGCGTTCATTTTGCTTATAGAATTTATTCTTCAATAAACTCCGTAAGGTGCAGCTTTTTATACCACCAATGGAGCCTTTACATTTCATTATGGAGCAAACATCGCTAACTATATGTAAACAGTTAATACCTACTAAGCCTAGTGTGTATAAGTTGTTCCATTCCATACAGCGAGGTTTTTATTCATCAAAATAAATCATCTTGGAATGACGACTCAAACGTTAGTAACAGGACGTTAATTTTGTCGACCAGTGTACTCTTCTTCGATTATGAAAAGTGATCGTAGTATCGATCTCTTTCTCAGATTATCCCATCTCTAGTATCAGTATGTCAGTGTCATGACAACTGTCAGAAACTCCTTCCGCCTGTCAAAAACAACTTCAATGAGGTGTAATGTTTATCTTCGAAAACATCGAAATGTTTTCTTGATTCGGTCGTTAGTTTAGAAAAACTCTGACTCGGAAATAACAATGGACGACGCCAGAACAGTTTGGTGTGGCAATCTGTCGGACAAAGTGACCGAAGAGCTGCTATACGAACTTTTCCTTCAAGCGGCCCCTCTACAAAGAGTAAAGATTCCCTCGGACAAGGAAGGGAGAAAGTCGAATTTCGGTTTTGTCACTTTCAAACACGAGTGCTCTGTTGACTACGCTACTCAGCTCCTGAACGGTACCAGACTTTTTGATAAATGCATCAATGTGAAGCCAAGAAACAACAATCAAAACAGGACACCACAGCGGTCACAAGAACTGCCGCATCCTCAGTTGGACATGATCAGACCGACGCATCTATTCAATGATCACAGACAACCAAACGATAGACATTTTGGAGGAGGTTCTAACCAGCATGATGAAGATAGGTGGAGAGGTGATATTGACAATTATAGAGATCATATGGACCACAATAGTCATAGAGATACTCATATGGAACCTAACTATAGAGACAGGGAGGATAGACGATATAACAACTCTTTCAGAAAACATGACAGGCACAATAACTCGCCAGATCATAGGCGACAAAATCACTCTCCAGACCCTAGGAGGCATAATAATTACAAAGATCGAAGGGGCAATTTTGACAGGAATAAGAGAAACAGATACTACTAGTCGTTCCTTAACAAATTATTGTGTGACTCAACTGTTTTTTTTATATACAAAAACTTTATTTGAATTAAATTGGTAAATTCATTTTGTTTTTATTTAAAAAATGACCTAATAATTAGATATATGATACCTCTAATTATTTATTTTAAATTTAAATGTTCCTTTAACTTGAAACATGTCCTTCCTATCAATTACGGCAGCTGATTCTCTAGTAATATTTCAAAATTCCCCTGATATCCGCAAAGGACACATAATTCTGACGGATCCGTCAACGCCAGGTAGACAGAGCCGTATTTTGTTTTGGTTTTTTGTACGCTACAGATTCATTTTGTACTTGCTAACAGCTCTTTTATTTAGAAAAGCTTATTTGTATACAAAACGCCACAAACAAGTCTTACAAGATTTGTACCCGATTCATTATTGCCAACGTTGCAGACTAACACAAAAATGTCACTTGCTGATCAGCTGTTCACATCAGTAGACGTCAAAGCGTGATGGATACTCGTGAAATAAGGATTATATTTGTAATGGGTGACATCTCTTCCCTTGTCTACGGGTGACATAAGATGCATAACCTCAATAAAGCATAAAATATCTCAATCATATGAGTTGTAAGACCATGGCCTTGAACTTTTAAGTCACCTGAGAATTCTAGTGTCCTTGAAACAAGTTAGCAGTGTTGCGGAACCTACCGATTTTTCGGTATTTTTACTGAAATGAGACCTCTACCGAAAACGTCATTTTCCACGATTTTTCATGATATTTCCAGATTTTTACCGTAAAAGAGCCAAGGCTAAAAATAAAGTTAAAAGAAATGACGTGTATGTATTTTTATGTCCCATACCAATCGTACATACGGTGAGGTTCAAATTGCGTCCTATGTATGTTAGAAAGAGTGCCCGATGGCGTCCATGGCCTGGTCGACGTGCTTCTATCTCTTTCTAACACTCGTATTGCACGCTTTTCTCTCGTATACATTAGGCCATCAATGACATTTGGTTTTTAGTGAATGCGTACACATATAAGGCAATCGGCGCACGAGGGATGTAGATTTGGGTAAATCATCATTACCGCATGGCCGGATAAGCAAGGAAGAAAGCAAAGCTCGTCGGTTTTGGATTAAACATTAAATTAAAGTGTCAGGTGATGAAGTTTCAAATTCGTTCAGTCATAAACGAAAGAGAATATTACAATTTCAATATTAATGACAGCATGATTTCTGATATTTTCAAACAACAATTGGTATGATCTCAAGGACGATTCTGATGTTTTGCTATTTCAGTAGAAGAGTTTGGTGCCAAATCCGTCAGCTCAGTAGTGTAAATTATTTTTTCACCATATCATCCACTTATAATAAATAAAAATACTTAAATAAATATTTTTGAAGTACGTTTTATGGCTGAGACGTAGTCTGGTAACGAAAAGGGATCGTATATCAAAACACATTGTACACCACTGTTAATGCAGTAGCGTACTATAGGACCGGGGATTTTTTTTAAACTGCACCTCTTATAATGATTTTTTAAGTTGTGCCTGTTATATATAGGTTTGATTTTATATTTTGGTTTTGTAATAATTTACAAAGTTGTTTTTACTAGTTTAGTTTTTACTTTTTTGTATTTATAGAAATTCTGGATACCTGTATGATGTAGTCTGTACACAATAACAAAATGTCATTTTCCCATTTGTTATTATATGTATGCGCGCGCAATTGAAAAATATACTACATGTACAATATACTTTAAGGATTTGAACAAGTTAATCAATGTCAGAAAGATATTGCAACCTCCTTAATATGCCACCCACCCTTTTTCTATGTGGGTTGAATTTTTATTCCATTTTTTATTTCTTTCTATGATCGCCTATGAAGGATGGTACATTCACATTGTGCTAACAGAAAAGAAGCTATAACTAGCTTCCAGTAGTTCAGATGGAGGCACAAGGCTCAAAAGTTGACAATGGCGTGGTAAGAAGAAAGGAAAACTGAATAGAACACATTAAAAATTCCTACACTTTTTTAAGAGTTTCAATTAGATTTTTTAAGAAAACCTACAACTATATAGATTGTGTGGCAAATAAATTATACAAGAAAAAAAATACTTCTCTTTGCTATTTCCATGCCTTTGAGACAGATGGAAGCCTTAGGTTGGAGTTGCCTAGATTCATAGATCTTAAATGAGGGCTATATAAAGATCCAAAAAAGGTAGGCCAAAGGCTAAGGGCAATCCAAAAATGTTGGCTCCAGGCTAAGAGTCATCCAAAAAATAAGGTCCAAAAGTCCCAATCATTTTGCATAATTAGACACACCCTCAATTGATTTTAGCACACATAGGTGGTCTTTAACTCTCGTTGTTGCCAGAACGAACCAACGAATGCGTGTTATCTGGATGGTAGGCCATATGAAAAAGGAAGGATTTGTCCGGAAATATTTGCAGATAGAGAGGCTGGCAAGGCCAGTTATTTTATTAGAGATATGCAGACATGGGAATTCCATGAATAGTGAAACCATTACAGGGTCAAACTGGACTGGATAGAATGGGCAGTTAAAAATACTCATGGTCTTGAAAAAATATTTATTACACATGTATAAAATTGTACAATTTTTCCGTGTTTAGATATATAAATAAACACGATACATTAACGGTTGAGTTTAAAAAATACATGAGTATGCTCATGATTGTGTGTAAAGATGCATTAAAAAAGTATAAAGCTTATGTTGTTGGACAATGACTCATTCATCTGAATAAGAGTGATAAATTTCCATAAATGTGTTTAAAATTGTATGCTGTTTTGCTTCAAAAAAAAGTTAGGATTGAAGAGAAAATGCACCATAAGTGCATTTAAAAAAAATGATTTAAATATTTTTAATCATCTCTATACACACCATGAAACAATCAAATTAAAAAAAAAGTATATGTGACTTGCTTTATACAATAATGGTACCGAAAGCAATGTAGATACGACGAATTACTTAAAATCAAAGTGACTTATCAGACAGTACATGTCAATCAGTCCATAGCAAACAGAAGAGTGCAAAATCATACACTATATCACTCTACGGTAATGTTCGCTTACTAACGGGAATACCATTCCTGTTTTCATCCACGTCTAGTCCATTATAACTCTGTAAAGAATTAAATAAGGAATACATTTCCATCAGCAACCATAACTTGGTTGTCATCTGTCATTCTGTTGAGCGCAGCTGTCATTTCGCCGTTCGTATATGGTGAGGCGTTGTCTGTATTGACAAACTCTCTGATTCTGTTGACGCTCAAAGACTGTGTTCTGCTTTCTCTGAATGCCCTGTTCAAATTGCTTCTGAATGATGATAATCTGCAACGAAAAATGCGATGCGTGTATTTTTATTGCAGATGCAGTAGCTAGTTTCCCCAAAAAAGTCAGAGAAGTACGAGGTAAGATCTGGGGTCTTGGATCCAAAGTGTTAAAAATATCTATTTCCTGTATTCTTACCTTTCTCCACTGATTTCTACCGGGCTATCATCATCCATCGGCTCACTGTCTCCTTGAGATCTCTCCTCGTGGTGACCGTTGATTCCATTGACGGTGACATCTTCGGTTATGGTCTCATTCCTGGCGCTTCTGGTGGTCCTTGTGCTCCTTGTTGATGATTGGGTAGATGGCATCTCGTCATCGGAATCTGCTCCACCAGTTGATCTCTGTAGGGAATAATCCAAATAAGCCCTTTGTCAGCCAACAGTCATAAAACAGACTCAACCGTTAGTCACTGTCATGATTCGATAAGATTTGACGCTTTGGCCTAAAGTTTGAGGAGAAGACAATAGAAATGACCACACTCAAGTTTTTAGTATGCACCTATACCATGTAAAGTGTATGACAAATGCATCAACCTAAAACAATGCAGTTCCCGAATACAGAAATTTCAACAATTACTATGCTCTTTACGTAAATAGTTATTGTTTTTGCTAAAAATATAAAACATCGTATTTATAAACATACTAAAGCACATCCTACACTTTCAGTTTCGGCTCTTCGAGGTAAATTAGAATGGTACAGGTTTCCAGCACTTTGCAACGTTAAAAATGCGTGTAGGATGATAGCAAGAAAATACTTTTTTTAATAATTCCCGGATATCGGATCCGCATAACGACCCATTTTTGAGTAAATCCGGTGCGTAGATGCCGACTCAATTTGACGCTGCGGCTACTATGAAACATAATCCCTCAAGAAAACTTTGTCAGTGAAAAATTGTTTGATCTAGAATATAATCCTATGTGCGATTCCTCCGAATTCTCTAACTTTCTCCCAGGAATACCGAAAACACCGATACACTGACATTTTTTCTAAGGCCAGTACCGAAAACAGTCGTTTTGAAAACATGGTCCGATATCGCGATCCTTATTTTATACCTCAAAATCGGACCAGCGACTCATGATTTTGTGAAAATCATAAATTTGAGCTCGGGTTATATTATCTAAAATCTGTTCAAACCTCATTTACTCTGCATCAAAACAAACATGATCATCGTATATTTTCGCTTGTCGCTGAATGCACAGGCATTCATGACCCGCTGGCCAATAGCAGCGAATAAATTTGAACGTCGTGCGCTACCATTTGATTATTCGGAGTTAATGGAAAATTTGCACCAGGAAGTACTATATTTTGACTTTCCCACAAGCAATTTTTCAAAAACCCCTGTGCCTCGCCAGTTATACCATTTGCACTTCACACATTCGCCTTTTGTAAATAGGACACATTATTCAAGTATTCGACTTACTCCCGCCCTGGTTCTCTTCCTATGCTGATCATCATCGTCGTCTTCATCCTCAGAAGATTCTTCCTCTCCTCTCTTCCTCCGTTTCTTCTCTTTCTCGAGCACTTTCTTGAAGTACGCGTACTGTACCAGCTCGATAGCCGCGTTAGCATCCTGGGCAGTGACCGTCGTTGACATACGAGCTTTAGCATGCGCTGTCGCCAAACGAATCATCGTTTCCAAGGTTCGAGGAGTCACTGGTTGAGTCTGCCAAACAGCATTTGAGAATGATACAGGGAAGTCAAGATGTTCCATAAACATAAGATGCAAAAATTCAACAAGTAATTCTTTGAAATATCCAAAGTTTATTTTGTCACTTGTATCTCTGTGATTTGTGAAATATGTGAAACAAGTAAATAGAAAAAAATGAGTTCCAACTCCCTCCCCTTACAACCCCCAACCCCAGATTTATAACTCTAAAAATGTTTTAAAAAATGATCAGGATCATCTGAAAAGCCAAAAAACGAAGTTTCGGCGATTTATATTTTTTGTTTTCGTTTTTGGCTTTTTTCTGTGACCACTAGGCGATTTTCAAAAATAACAAAGCTTTTTCGTCCTTGGCATAATCGTAACATTGCGTAAAAATTACATCAAAATCCAAGCGGTACTTTTCAAGTTATAGGCGGTTTATAGGGCTAGAGGAAAACTTTGGTGACTAGAATGCTCCCCAGCAGGTGTGGAAAGTAAAAATTGGTACGGTAAAAATTTATAAAAACTTTTAATTTGATTTTTGACATTTCCAAGTTCGTGACCTCTTTAGGATACAGCCTACATTCGATTAAGGTCGAAATTTTGAGATTTTGAAGAATGCATGTAATAAATTAAATAAAATAAAGTATTCTATATTGGCACTTATGCCTTCTCATTGGACCTCGTGTATTTCCTATGGGGAGATCAAAAGTTGGAACACAACTTATTTGAGGAATACACAAAAAGTCAGCTATTGGCTGAGTGCAACTCAGGAAAAGAAAAACTGCTTTTTTGTAGAATCCTAAAAGGGCATAAGTAGTGCTCGAGTAATAAAAAAATCGCCTCTCGAATTTTCACCTGCAAGTACTCAAATAAACAACCAGAACTCCAACACACAGTCTTACCCTGGCGACATCGTTGTCAAGCATATCTTCCGACCTCAGTCTAGAATACTCATCAGCAATGATCTCAGAAGCCCTCTCAGTAAGTGCAGGCTTGAACATCTTCACAAAATGAATGTATTTCCTCATGAACTCGACGCTAAGGATCTCATCGGTTTTCTTTCTGGACGAACCGTGTAAGAGTGCGTCGTACTTCTCGAACACATCCGTCTTTTTCTGATCATCATCGTCCGGGTTGATGGTACTCAGAATGTCCACGTTGCTGCCTAGTGGTAAAGGCTCGCCATCTTGTTCCAAGGGGTTCCTAAATATTTCAGATGTAAATTGGAATTTTTGATGGATCCCAAAAGCTGTGATGTATCAAAACAAACCTTAATAAATGAAGACTGACACTATTTCCACCAACATATAATAAACATAATGAAATGCGGTTATTTGCTTTTTGAATGACATCATTTTAAATTTCTGGGAAAATACACTGGAAAACGAAAGTAATACCTGTATCTATGCATCCTTACAACATGGTCGGAGATTTTCAAATCTTGATCTTCATCAATGGAATCTAGCATAACAAACAGGCAATCGAAACGTGACAGAAGGGAATCTTGCAGACCAATATTTTCCATGGGTGTTTTGTACTGGTCGTACTGAAAAAAAAATGAATCACTTAAATCGCTAAATTTGTACTGAGACTATTATTGACTGATGTTTGTTAACTCACTCGTTTTTTCGGTATACCAAAATGATTATTTATATGACATTGTACGTTTTTCCGCGATTCATTAGGAACGGGGTTTGTTGTTTGCTTTTTACCTTTCCATAGACGGGATTGGCAGCTGCCAAAACAGAACACCTAGCATTCAGGCTGGCGTGTATACCGGCCTTAGCGATAGTGACACGACCTTGTTCCATCACCTCGTGAATGGCAGTTCTGTCAATATCACTCATTTTGTCGAATTCATCAATGCACACGACGCCTCGGTCAGCTAGTACCATAGCACCGGCCTCTAATCTTCTCTCGCCTGGAAAAAAAAATATACTGTGTCCCTATCTGCTCTTAATCTTGAGCTCTCAAGTCGCTTTTTCGTCCTTCTGGGTGAACATATTTCTATTTATAAGCAAAAATATAAGGGACAGCTCACTATGTCAAGAAACATTTTTTTACAGCAAATGATACCATATTGTCAAAATAACGAATTCTACAAAATAAAGCTATGAGTATCATTTTAAATAAAAGCTTAACGATTAAGTCTATGTTGGAAGAGCAAGTGACTAAATGTTATTCAGTTCTCATTTTCATATTCAAATCAAAAAATCATTTATTACCACCACATTTAGAAAACTTCACAAAATTGAATAGTCATTATCATAACTATGAAACTAGATGCAGTATAGATTTTCATCTAGAAGATTGTAATAAAAGCATAACTAGCAAATCTGTGTTTCAAAAAGGAGTATTTGGATTTAAAAAATTGATAAAAAGTATTCAAATTTTTAAATGTTTAAGGTGAAATTAAAAAAGCGATTCATGAATACCCAAAATGCATAGTGAATGCGATTTTAACAGACAGAAAATTGATTAAAAAAACGTGTACACAAATAATTATACAAAATTGTCATTGTAGCATTTGCCAAATAAAAAAAAATTGGAAATCACACAGTGAAATACTGGGCCCAGATATTTTGAAGATGCTAAAAAGCCAACAACCATTATACTCGACAGTGTCCTGAAAATATTATTTGTTGAATGGTTACCTGTTTCCTGATCTGTGGTGACAGCAGCTGTCAAACCAACGCCTGAAGATCCTCTACCAGTAGTCGGAATCGCTCTGGGCGCCGTCTGCAATACGTATCGCAAAAGTTGGGATTTTGCAACACTAGGATCTCCTATCAACAATATGTTGATGTCGCCTCTGAGTCTCGTACCGTTTGGTAGTACTTTTTCTACTCCTCCAAGAAGGAGACAAAGGATAGCCTGAAAATACAACCTTTCAATACTCAGTACCTAGCAAATCATTGCAAATGCTTGACAAGATACACGTCATACAAGCATCAAGCATGGACGATCACAGGGCGAGCACGGGTCCATGGGAATCAGGTTGAAACTTAAAATTTGCATATTTAGTATAATTTTTGTACAATTTTGAGGATTTTTAGGAGTTGCTCCCCCCCCCACTCTTCAAAGTTAAGGCGGCAGATACACTTTCACAAAAAGTTATCTCTTGCCGATGATCGGCCTCCCTGCTGGCGCCCATAAGTTCTGGTTAATATGGAAGCTACCAAAACATTTATATATGTTGAAGATTCCTTACCCTTTTGATATACTCATGTCCATGTATGGATGGGGCCAAAGATTTTGCTAGTAAATTAAATATATTCTTATTATTTTTGGCTAGCCTCTTGCAATTGGCGACATCTTCTTTTGAAATAGCTGTTTGTGTTTCTTTACTTAACTGAGTTATATTATTTGCTATCACTATTGTTCTGTAACAAAAGAAATAGTATGCATACATATCTAGTAATATAAGATGTTTTCTTAAAATTGGGACTCCTTAAGTTATGAAAAAATAAGCAAGCTTTCCTACACAGACAACAGACTGAAATAGGTTTTAAAAAAAATTCCACATCAACTGGGTTTTTTTTCATGAAAGATCAGGTAAAAAGCCATTGCATGGGAAAACCAAGCTGCTTGTTTACAAATCGGACTTGAAAACACGAAAAATTACAGTCCTTTACCAATAACAGATATATTATTTATGGTATCATCAAGATGTGCTAAGGCTTGCTGTGCAGATTGTTTTCCCGAATGTTTCCATCCAACACCACCTGACAGGGTGGTACTTGAAATTTGTTATCAAATGTAAATTTATTCACATTTATTCTTATTGAAAAATCAATTATTGAGTGCAGAGATACTCACCTGAAAACAGCATTGGTATAATTGGCCTGTTTGCTAGGTAGACACCTAAAGTTGCCAACAACCTGGATTCTGTCACCGGGCTTGCAGACATCAACTAAATCATTGTCGCAAATGATGTCCACAGAACGTGGCAACTGACCTGCTGGTGCCTTCTCAGGCATCTCTTGAATAGAAATTGTCTGATGGTCTTTGTAGGTAGATAGCCCGAATTCTGTTTCTAAGGGGTTGCCATCATCATCCTAAGATAAATGGCAAATATAGATATGTTGGGGCAAGTCATAGCCATTAGAAATTTTAAAATATGTACAAAATATAATTAAAAAAAAGAAATATTAATATTAACCTTAGTAGGATATACAGCAGCTGACGGAAAGGCATCAAATGATGTCAAATCTGTGTATTTCCTTTCAATAACTTTATTGGTAGTGGGGCAATAGTGGACACTGCGGACAATTTTGGGATGTACCAATGAACCTAGGAAAATAAATAACCATATGATCAAAACCTTAAAAAAAGCAGTCTACATATTAGTGAAGATATTATAGATTATTGATTTACAAAATTAAAATCCAGTAAATAATATAAACTGTAAAAAAAAGACTGTATCTGTATCACCATATAGGTATATACATTCAACAATAAAGCATATAAAATGTTCAATAGACTACATACACTTTGTAACAATCCCTTCCACACATATTAGATTCCCCAGGTACTTTGATGTGAGCGTTCTAGGTGTAACATGGTTTTTTCCAAAACTGCCTTCGAATGCTATGAAATATTCCTCTTGATCTTTAACAAATTCACTAGTAGAGTTGATTACACATTCCTTCAAAGCTGCTTGGAATGCTTTCTGTTCTTCGAAAGCGTTTGTTAGGAGAGCCTGTGCTCTGGATGGATTTTTTCTTCTTAGGTCATTTATATTCACCACCAAACGCAGACTTTTGTCTGCTATCATGTTCTTTATCAAGTTTGCATATTTTCCTTGGTCTTCCTAATGATATCACAACGCACAGATGAGCATACACATGCCAGTAACATATTACAAATAAGATGGTATATCATGCAAATACATCATACAGACCTGATCATCCAAGAAGTCCAAGTACTCTTTTTGTAGCATACGGAAATGGTTGTCAACATCATGAGCAACGTTTTCCATCTTATATTGCTAGCTGTTTAATATTTCCTATTAAACTAAAAGTGCAGAAAGATATTTCTCAAAAAAAAATCACTTCCTAGATACACAATCCACAACAAAAGTTTTGGCGGGAAATTCACAAAACATAAAGTTTAAAAACTTGCATGACAGTCGTTTCGTGCATAGCACTTGATTCTAAGTTTTCGTTACGGAACGTGTAACTTGTTAGAGTCCAGTCAATAAAATAAGTTTGGCAAGATAAAATTGTATCTTTAATTCCTATAAAAACCGAATGCAACATGATCAGTATTTGCGGTAGTCTATACCGTCAGTATTTACTGCGTATTCCGTCAGTGTCCCTGAATTTTAAATGCCTGGGCAGGCAACGACGACAAGCAAATAGAAGTGGCGATCGAATGCCTATGTTTGTTGTGATGCAGTGCACAATGAGGGTTACATATGGTAAATGTTCAAGAATTAGAAACTCTAAAAATGAAGTTTGGTCACGTATTGCATTTTTTGATTTTTATATGAAGACTTTCATCTCACTTATGGGATTGCTACTTGTCAAGATATCCAGTGGTATAGTTATCGAGTACTCATCCCTTTATATATCTCCATCTCCCTCATCCATACACAGGCAACCTACCCCTATGTGTGAACGTTTGTTCGGTAAGCTCAAAGACATACGTTTTGTAGTTGAGTGTGTCCGTTTCGAAAACTTTTTCGTTACTTGACATCGGCGTGCAATTTTAGTTGTCCTGTTATCAATCTTCAATATAAAATTGTACCATGCCCGGAAATACGATCAATAGAGAGGGCCGACAGCTCGTGCTAAGTTTATTTGAGTATTTACAGGAAGAGAATGAAAACAGCGGTCCCCTGTTACCCACTTCATGCGTCCTGGAGAGAGTATCAGATGCGCTTGTTTTTATTGTTTATTTTGTGTATTGACATTTTACGGGGTCAGCGGAAAATAACTCATGCTAAGCTTCGCCCAGTTAAGACGTCTTATTATCATTATTATACTTTTAAAGATTACGAAGTCAGTTTGACGCCTACCAGTGGACCCAAACTCATTTTCTAGCGGAAGTTGGGCCTCATGACACTGATGTTTTGACGGTAATACTCGCATTCGGCGTTCATCGGTTATACCTGTTTAACACACTACATGGATTGGACTATAACGATGAAATCTCGTTCCATATCGAGAAATTAGGAATCTAGGAGATTTGACAATACTAATGCTAAATATATGCTGTCAAAAGATTGAAAACGTCAAGTGGTGTCAAGCGGACAATGGATTGTTAAAAAAATGGATATCAAAGATATCTGGATTTCAAGTGATATTTGGGATAAAAATCGAAATAATTCATGTATAAATAATTCTAACGGGAAAAGCTGTTTATGATTAGAGTTTTTCATCTTTAAAAAAAAAGTGATCGAAAAACTCTGATTATGAATGCTTTTCAGCCATGCCCCAATACATCGGACTTGGTGCCCCTGTATCTTCCACATCAACTGTTCCTGAAGCCTATTGCAAGGCTGAACATGTCTCTGCAGCTGCCCAACGTCAAAAAACTCGGAAAAAGCATCTCCCATTGGGAGATCATGGATAAAATCAGGGAACTCATACGTCCTGAGGAATTTACAGTATTCAAAGTTACGAAAACCACCCTAGAGTTTGTGCGGTTTGAAGCGGAGCTTGAGACAAGATCCAAGATTGAGACAGTGCTTAAAAAGTTGGACAACAGGATGATAAAGTTAAAGGACTTCAGTGAACCCATGCGTCTTCGAGCTTGTGAGTGGAAATCCGACTTTCCTAATCGTAGAGCCTGGGATGATTTCTTCCAAAACACCAAGGATATGGACGAGATGAAACCTGGACAAAGACCTGACACATTGTACATATCCAGTGTTCCTACCAAATGGTTTGTCCCCAGACATTTATCAAGTGATGATGATATCACCCCATCAGAAAAAATATTCTACAGGGTTTTTCAAAAATTCGGTTCTATACGATACATAGACATCCCTATCAGTGATCCATATAGGAAGAAAATGAAGGATCACATATCCGGTTTGAAAAACTCTTCATTCGACAATAAGGAGTTCTTTGAGGGTTATGTGCAGTTCAAGGACTATATTGGTTTTACAAAAGCCATGGATGCTTTTCGTGATAAGAAGCTAGTGTATAAAGAAGAAGATTCAGCGACTGAGGTGAATATAAAGGTAGACTTTGATCGGTCGAAGCATTTGAGTGATGCCAGTATTCGCAGGAGGGAGATTGTTAGAGAAAGACTGGTGAAGAAAGCTAGAGAAAAGGAAGAGAAAGAACAAGCTGAGCTGGAAGAAAAGAAGAAGAGAGAAGAAATTGAAAGGTTCTTTGATATTAACATTGGGAACTTTTATCAATTTGTTTTGATATATGTACCCATTGTTGAGATATATCTTGAATGTATTTACGGATAGGTTGACCTAGAGAAAATACCGCTATTACCATTCATTAGATATTCAGAACATCTTGAAATCGATCCATCTTGAAAAATTTCAATATCTAGTGCTTTTACTCACTTTTCTAAATAATCTTTGTCTAATTGTGCATAAGAACTTCCTATTGTTTTGTTCTCATGTTCGCAAAGGGGTATTTCATATTGTTATTACTCAGTCTAGCCTATTTGTACTTCCATCTATTTTGGATCATATTGGAAAATTATAGAAAGTATAAGTAAAAAAAGAGTGTTTTGTGTTTTTTTGAGTAATATGCAGGATGGTACAGAATTTTGTGTGAGTAGATTCAAGATATAAAAAACAAAATGTGATTGAATTATAGGTCATGAAATATTATACTTAATTTTATGGGGTCTTGAAGCTTGGGATATTGAGAATGAGTTTTGGGGCATGTACATGTAGTAATAAAGGTAACATTACCACCTACAATATTGTTGTCTAAAGCACTTTCTTTTTCTCAAAGCTAGATTAACTCTTAATAATAATAATAAGGAAAAACCCCAAGTAAAAATATTTCAACCAGAATCAATGAGCCTTTGAGAAAACTTCTTACTTTTGAAAAATACAGTAGTGCACACAATTTTTTGCTAAAAGTTTAAATGCTGCATAAAATTGAAATGGGGAATACCTGTGTATAAGAACTTATTTTAATATTTACTACAGAATCTTCCCAGAAATTTTCATGATTACATTTTGTAACACCCTGTATAGAGCCCAGAATTCTTTAAAAAGATGGAGGTGTTATGTCATTCAATTTCTCATAATTTACAAACCTATTCTATTCATTTCATATTCCAATATGTGATCTAATTTCATGTAATATATATACATATATATTTTTTTTTTTGAAGAATAACAATTTATTAATGCTATGTTGTGAGGTATTAGTGATTATTTACAGGCAAAGAGAGGTAGATGTGAAGACTGAGAAAGAGATGAGGAGAAAATTACGCGAAGAGAAGAGAAAAGCCAAGATACTTCAAAAGCTTGAAATCACAGGTGCTGATGAAATTAATGAAAAAATTGCCAATGAAGAGAAGAAACTGTTGAAAGTGCAGAGGAAATTGGAAGCTATAAGGCTGGTTGAAGAACTATTTAGAAGAATTAAGGTAATTTGTGAATAATTCCCAACAATATAAATTTTAGCATGACTAGTGATAAATCTTTATATCATAAGGCCAAAGTATGCAGCATGCAAGTACTTATATACTGATATCACATTAAGATATTTTCAATAAATTTTCATTATTTCATTAGGAAAAAAATCCAGGGAACATGCGGTTATATGATGGATTACCAAATCCTGGCTATGACGAACTGAAAAAGTTCAAAAACACCAGTGAACTAGAAGTACTCACTCAAAGAGAAAAGTTGCACCATGCTTTGAAAGGAAGAGTCATGTTGAAGACAATTCTCTCTGATAAAGGAAGACCAAGAAGAAACTCATCATCTAGTTCAGACTCTGATTTGTCTCTGGATGAAGTACTTCCATCAAGTAAGTTTAATTTATTTTTTAGTGTTCAGGAAATACCCTTCAAAATAACCAAACTGCTGTAGTATATAGAAAAATTAAGCTTCTCATTGTGATCTCATCCAATTTTACTTTGTCACTGTTATAGGAGGCAGACCAAAAAGTCCTGTTGTAGAGAAGTATCCTGAATTGCTGTATAATTCAAACTGGTTAGGATTCCAATATCCATTTCCTGGAGCATATCCAGAGCTTATGGATCCTTATGGGTTGAGAGGATTTATGCCTAGAGGCAGAGCACCATTCCCAAGGCTTCCTATGTTAGCTGGACCTTCAAGAGGTACTATATCATTTATCTCTGTAAAATGTATGCAAGACTTTTACTACAATACCTCGACGCGTCAAAATGTGACAACAAAAACAACTGGTCATTTAAAGACATTAAAAAATTACTATATGGGCAATAAAGTCGTACGTGTGTGATTTGTTTTGCATAAAATAATTAGGACAGTTTTGGTGTACGATCAGAATAAAATAATCAATTTAGCTGCTGACAATCATTACCAGATTCGCCTCACAAATCAGATCTAGCAAGTTTCTACAATTTTTACTCCAAGACAGTGGTTCATACCATTTTCTTGAAAAAATTGGCGGACTTGGCTATTTGAAACATCTATTCCACTGTTTTAATGAGGTATTCAATTTTACATAGATTTGTTTGCGTTTTTGAAAGTTCCTTCTGCAGATTGGGTTAAAGCACTGCTTATTCTTTTCAGGCATGAACTTTGGTGGTGGTAGGCGTAGACCAATGAGAAACCGCGGAGGATACAGAGGTGGCGGCAGAGGCAGACAGTATCCACAAGAAATGACTGAAGAATACCAGTTCTTTGATGATCTCGACAATAGAAGAGGTCGTTCGTATTCTAGAGAACGTTCTTGGGACAGATCCAAAGATAGAATGAGGTATATATTATTATGCATTTTTAGGGTCTGTCCACTATACCAACATGTTGCTATACAATATGTGCATAGTCATTTAATACCAGGGGCTTAAAAAAATACAGACTAGAAGTGAATTACTAATGAAGTACTTTGACAAAACGCCACCCGGGTGGCCGAAACGTCAGCAATTTTCCTCCTTCTAAGTCCGCGGTTTTATTAAATGGCCAGTATAACTTGTTGATTATTCTTTACTAAATGTTTGATATTTTTGTATTTAGGTCAAGAGACAGATCAAGAGGTAGGACTAAGGATAGATCAAGATCGCGTTCTCGTCGAAGATACAGCAAATCATATTCCAGATCAAGAAGTAGATCGAGAAGTAGAAGAAGGTCTAGGAGTCGCAGCCATAGATCATCTAGGTCTAAGAGTCGATCTAGAGCAAGAACTAGAAGGTAAGACATAACTTTCAAGCAAAACTAGGCCTCAGAACTTTTAAGTGTCTTCAAACATTTTTCACACTATTTTAAGTGATCCTTTTGTTAATTTTGCACTCTTGGCAGTAATCATCAGTGTGTTGAAATCCACAAGTGTATTGTTGTTATCATTAACTGCATATTTATTGGTTTGTTTTTTTTTCAGATCGCACAGTCGTGACAGGTCGAGATCCAGGTCTAGCAAAAGGTCTTCCAGACGAAAACACAGAGATACATCCGAGTCCAGATCCAGACATAGATCTAGATCTAGATCAGGAAGTAAATCTAAGGAAAATGATAAGTGCAAAACTCCGGAAAATGAGCGGTCTGGATCTGTGGATAGTTCCAAGTTCATGACACCTAAACAACTCTCCCTACAGAAGTCTGAGAGGAGGGAGAGGTCGAAATCTTGGTCACTGCCTAAGGAAGGAGAGCCTCAAAGACGCTCCTGGTCCAAGTCTCCAGAAAGAAAGATGTAAGGCTAGAACAAAGTTTTGAGCTTGGTACTAAATGAAGATGATAATTTTAAGTTTATGTTGTGTATGTTCGAAAATATATATTTATTTGAATCCAGCGACTTTTTATTTTCCCTCTATAATGTATGAGGCTGGGAGACTGATGTCTAATATGGTCATCATAAGATCCTAAAGTGAGAGTAGGGAAAGCGATTTTCTGATGCCTCCAGTAGATGTAAATGTTGGTACCTGTACTCTAGAAGCAATTAACGGATCGCGATAATAAAAACGGGCGATTTGGTACCACAAATACACACTCTCAGCGCGAATTGTTTACAATTTTGCTTTTGCGAGCTAGTATCGTAGACTGTTCACACGTTCACGATTCATTTGACTCATTGGTAAGGATGGCAACGATACATCGGACGTAGATCATCGATGGTTTTATGACGATGTATCGACATCGAAAAGGATCATAAACATCGGTATACCCCGAGTGTATCCTTAACTGTGCTACCATCTCCAAGCGAGGACTGGTACCTTGGAATTTGAAAAGCCAGGGGATATAATAAAGTAAACTGAAAACTACGCATTTAATGATTTTAGGTTCTGATTATTTGATTATTCGTAGTTGCCATGTCGCTGTTTTATTGTTAATCGAAATGTGATGTGCGGAAGTACTTTAAAAACTTGTGCACAGTGTAAATTATTTACTGATCATCAATGTGTTCTCAATTTTGACAATCTTATATCTTACAGTTTCCTATGATCATACTTGTTTACTGAAATATACTAAGTGACATATAAATCCGAACACCCAGTTTAAATGGTTTTATTTTAATAAAATTTTGTATAAGTACTTAATGAAGCATAATAAGTAGATGATAAAAATTTCAAAATGACTGCACTGCTTTAAAGCCCTTTGACCTTTAATAATGTGTGGATGCACCCTGATGTGCTACGCATTCTCCAACGCGCCTAGGCATGCTTCTGATCAGGTTGTCAATGTCCTCCTGTGGTATCTCATTCCAGGCAACCACCAACTCCTCTCGAAGTGCTTCTAGAGTCTCAGGAGGACGTTACAAATTGAGCAATCTCTTACCCATCATATCCCACACGTGCTCAATTGGGGATAAGTCGGGATATCTTGATGGCCATGGTAACAATGTGACATCATTATGTTGAAAGAAGTCTATTGTGACTCTTGCAACATGTGGTCGAGCATTATCTTGTTGGAAAGTTGGATCTGCCAGGGTGTCAAGATAGGGTAAAAGATGGGGTTCTAGAACTTCGCGGATATAACGCTGCGCGTTCATGTTACCTCTGATGAAGATTAAAGGTGACCTGCAACCATAAGCTATAGCAACCCAACCAAAACTCCAACGAATGAGAAGTTTTGGCTTGTTTTCATACCGGCCACACTGGGTCCTCCCTTTAACTCGAGAACACCGACGTAATCGCCTTGAGTGGTGCAGACAACGGTCACTCTGGGATCAGGAATGGAACAGTATTGTCTTTAGTGACGAGTCTCGATTTTGTTTAGGCATGCACGATGGTCGTGCCAGGGTTAGAAGGCGACGTGGTGAAAGGAGGAACCCACAGTTTTTTGTTGAAAGACATGTTCATCACACTGTTAAATGAGATGTACCAAAATCTTCAACTTTTTGTGTATTATAAAACAGAAATTGTCTATATATTTCTGTATAATGTAAATAATAGGAGACTGATCAACAATTTTGTCACCAATTTTATTGGATAAATAATTAAGTTATGAACAATTAAACACTTTTTTCTATCTGCTGTTCCTTGTACTGCTTTTGCAATAACTGCAGTTTGAAGAACTTTTGATACTGATGTTTCTGAGCTGCTGATGCTGGCAGATAATGGCCCCCTGGATGTCTTACTATAACTGGTTCCTCAAAACTGTTGCTCAACGCCTCGCTCATTTCTAAAAAACAAACCTGCTATATGAAAACTTATTTTCACATGATTCTCCTAAGATAGAGTATAAGCCTATGATGGTCATGTCAATTTTTTCAAAGTCTAGACCATTTTTGTAACTTTGACAAATAAAAGTAACAACTGAAGCATGTAAAGAAGAAATGTAAATAAAAGCCCCAACTTTCAGAACAACCTGTATGCATCTATACTCTGATTATCTAAGGTATTATGGTAAAATATTGGTTATTCTAAAGAGAGTTTAGACAAAGTATTCCTAGCTACTTTTGTGACCTCAAATTTGACATTTCAATCCCAGGTTATTTTTGACCCATACTTTAATTGATCTAATTATACCATTTACAGCAATTACATTATAGTGTGTCTGACTGGTAACTTACCTGTTGGAATGATTTGATCATTTTCACCAAATATGTGCAAGGATGAGAGATTTATCCTATCGCTGTAGTATTTCAAATGTGGTAAGCTTCCAGATTTGAAGCCAGATGCTAGTACTGCAAAGCTAAAGTTGAATTTTGTCACTGAAAAAAAAAGGTTTTTATGAAAGACATGTTATTAAGTCTTTCCAGTCAGACTAACATACACCCTCTCTGTTGCAAGTCACACAGAAGTCCTACAAAACAGGCCCCTTGAGAAAATCCAAGTACTCCATCAAAAGGTCCTTCCTCAGCAAAAGTGTGTTCTATCAATTTTACGCTTTCTTCAAAACCTATTGCTGGTCCCCCTTTTCGAATTCCTCTGAATGTTTTATCGTCTCTGTTAAAAAACCACCCATATTGCTCTGAAACATTGTTTTTGAACCACACGATGTTGAAACTATTCTCAAGCTCTCACCTTCATCTTGACTTTGCCCAATATCTGGTTCCTCAGATTTGTTTAAATCATTTGAGTCGTCTACTAGTATAACTTTGTGAGGGGCCGTAATGTAAGTGAACTGTGCCCATTTATGTACCATTCTACGAAAAGACCCTGTCTTCGCCCTAAACGTTTCAGCATTTTGTCGGTAACCATGTATAGCTAGGATTTTTAGCTTCTGTGACATGCTGTCTTCAGTACAACATTTTTGCTCCATTTGACTATTATTATCCATTATTATTTATTGAATTACGTCTCTTATGAGGCTTCCCAGACCATTATTATAACCTCACTTAAATTAACTGTCATTGTTCACAGCCATACCAATAACCAAGCTTGGGCTTCTAGAAACCTGTAAGACTATTATGATTCTAGCCCTCATAGATAGATGTCGCGAGCAACTCAGGCGTACAGAAACCTGTGTGGTTAAGTATCATTATACTGCTCTGTAATAGATGTCGCCCCGACATAGCAGACAAATTCCTTTTTTAGTTACGAAACGAATTGGCAGATTTATAAACGTATTAGGCCCAAGTAAAGATAACATCGCCACGCAAGACATTATATTATATTGAAATATACTGCACTAGACTCTAGAAGACTATCCGTATGGAAATTTTTCTCGAAATCGTTGCACACCGCTTAAAAAATGCAGATGAAAATTGGATAACCGCCCCTTTGACGTTGTATACCCCGGGATAGACATACATTTTGGCAGTTGACCTTATCATTCTTGTCACCTAGATTGCAGCGTTGCCAGCTCATCGGACAATTTTGCTACCTGTGCTAGAGTGTTATAAAAAAAAATAAGCTTTGAATGAAATATTGGAGGATATCAATAGAGATATATAAAATTTGAGGCCTAGCAGTGTTGGACAAAAAATTAGCTGTTATTTACATTTTGCGTGGCTTGGCGTCTATGAGGCGGAACGTTAATGTTCTCAACACTGAACAGTATCACAAAGCGACGCGATGTTTACGTTGATGTGGAGCAGACGCGCGGAGTGGGAGCTGGAAAGGGGCGTGGCTGTACTACCCGGTTGTACCGTATCGCCGCAGCGAGGTGCAGCACTCGAACGCTTCAGTCTCCCGGCAACTGTCGGCGCAGCGTAATGTCTATGCGTTTACAGCTCCGTACAGGGCTCTATTCGGTTTAGCTACTATTTTTCAGTAGTGGTGTTCACTATAGGGTTCTCATTGTCTCTCAGTGGAGCCTTGGTGTTGTGACGTGGGAGCCAAGTAACTCCAAAGTGGAAATTAGGTCTACTTCCAACTCTTCTGAGGGAAACAGGATATCTGTGCAGGAAACTAGGTGAGCCTTGCATACTCATCTACTTGTGCATAAGGGTTGACGTCCTAATTTTTTTTTAATAAATTGCGCACATTGCATGCACTGAGAAGTTAGTTATATGTATACTGAGGTATTTGGGAAAAAAATTTAGCCAAATCGTTTTTATTTCTGCCTCACTTAATTTTAAGAAATGTCAGAAAACTAATGGCACTATTAAGGCACTACATGATGGTGTTTTTGAAAAAGTACTACCCTGTATCTAACAGCATCTTTTTCTACGACTTCAACGATGTATCACGTTACATTTGTCATTTTAGTTATAAACAAACGTGTTTTTTCTACTTTTTCATTTTATTTAAGTAGGCGTAACCGTATCATCACTTGCAACGCTTGCAGTATTGAGACAGGTTTTTAACTAACTGGATAATATATTCTAGTACTCTGTCATAGTGCTTTGTGACGTTAACACCGCTAAAAGCTGATATATATTAGCCTTCCACTAGATTTCAATCCATTTGCTCGTTACGTAACGAGAAGGTTGAAGTCTAGTGCTAGTGCGAAATGATGTTTTTGACTGTAAACATTTTTTTTGCTTTTGTACTTTTCTTTTTGACATATGTGGTTAACGTAAAATTTGAGTTTAAGACTGGGCATTTCCATCCTCCGTTCATAACATCAGAAGAGACACTATTTGGCAACGCTGACAAAATTTGACACAGAGTACTAGTACTAATCTTGTGGCCATGATGCCTTCCGTCATCAGCTGTCAAAATAGTAGATTTAGGTTAGCTGTTAAAGTTCAAATTCCAGTTTTTATGGTTTATCTGTATGGTTTCAAGATTATTTAACAATAATAATATGAATAACTGTGCCGCAGGACAAGCCATAAAATGCAGAATAGGCCCCTCTATATTAAACGCGGATTTATCCCAACTTTATCAGGAATCCCAAAGACTCCTTGATAATGGTGCTGATTACTTACATTTAGATGTTATGGATGGTCACTTTGTTCCTAATCTCACATTCGGTCATCCAATAGTGAAATGCCTAAGGACTAAACTACCAAATGCTTTCTTTGAAACACATATGATGGTTTCTAATCCAGAACAGGTAGCTACTTTGATTTCATACCTATGTCTTACATGCATCCACAAAATTTGCCCTATGTTTAACTGCATTTCGTAAATGCAAAAGATCATTGCTGAATAGCTCAACCCTATGCCATCCTTATTACACATCTCAATCATCTTAGAAAGTATAAATGACAACACTGGTTAGGTACTGCCCATCTATAGTAGTACTTGATTAGGATTACATGTAGCTTGAGTTGTTGACTTTTGGTCACTGTGAACTACTTGTTATTTGTTGAAGTACTCCATTGGGGCCAGGTTTGACCTATATCTAATAAGTGATAAGCAAGGTCATATTTAGCCACTAAGTAAGGGGAGAGGTCACCTTTAGTCAGAGAAGGAGGTCACTTTTGAGTCAGAGGGTCACCTTGGAGTCAATGATGGTCTCCTTTGAGTATAGGGAGTCACCTTCGAGTCAACATGTTCCAAAATCAGTTTCACAATGTTCCAATAACATACAAGGCCTATAAATTCTATACTATTATACCGGCCATCAGGATCAAGGCTTTTTTTAATTTGTTTCAGTGGATTGAGCCTATGGGAGAAGCCAATGTGGACCTGTACACATTTCATATAGAACCAGTTTTATCTGATGTTCTAAAAGTATGCAGAAAAGTGAAAGAGGCAGGTATGAAGGTAGGGCTTGCTCTGAAGCCTGGGACGGGCATTGAAGCTGTCCGTCAGTACATTGATCATGCTGACATGATTCTCATCATGACAGTTGAGCCTGGCTTTGGAGGACAGAAATTCATGCAAGATATGATGCCCAAAGTCCAGTGGCTGAGGCAGAATTATCCATTTTTAGATATAGAGGTAGATGGAGGTGTAGGACTTAATACAATCAACGCCTGTGCAGAGGTGAGTTTTTTCTCATCTATTTTGAAGAAACAACATCTGATTGACGAAACATACCTTAACATTGTGGTATACTAGCTGATAATATCTAAAATCACTGATTAACATATTCTCTAAGAAGATGCTGTACTGAACGCAAAAATAGTCTCTGGGTGCCATCTTGTAACATTTTTCAAAATAGGGCATCATGAGATACTTTTTATATTAATCTTCTTCTTTGGGAAGGGTCTATCTGAATATGCATTAAAATATGTTTGATTCAAAAAAATATAGTCAAGATTTGAGATTCTTTCAAATGGCATATTCCATATTTTATTGTATATTCCAAGAGAAAAGATTCATATAGGGATTTGCTGAGTTATAAGTGACAATGTATGAAAACAAAACAGATTGCCATTTTGTAAATACCATCACGCTAGTAAAATTCCCCGTATTGACACAGGACAGAGCTGTATTTTGTTTTTTTTTTTTGTACGCTACATTTTGTACTTGCTAACAGCTCTTTTAATTAGAAAAGTTCATTTGCATACAAAAAACAAAACGGCACAAATAAGTTTCACTAGATTTATACCCGATTCATTATTGCCAACGTTGCGGTAAAAATGTCACTTGTTGATCATCTGTTTACCTCAGTAGACGTCAAAGCGTGATGGATACTCGTGAAATAGGGTATAGCATCAAAGTGAGATCACACCACCCCTTATTCCATTCAAGATATATTGAAATTTCCAACTGCACTTTTAAGCCAAAATAGAATTCATGCATCAATTTCATTACCCTGAATTTCAGGTTTTTGACTTGACCCGTTAAAAAATGATTAAGGGGGCTTTTTAGAAAAGCACTCTATAGTCTATACCGGGCTATGATGTGCTTATTTTCGCGCAGGGCCGCAGGCAGGGCTTTCAGTTGGATTGGGTATCTTCTGCCAGAATGTCATTTAATGCTAAATTATAATTCACATTATGACAATCTTTTTTTTTTCAGGCGGGTGCTAATATGATAGTATCAGGAACAGCAATAATAAATTCAAAAGACCAAAGGTCTGTAATAGCAAGTCTACGAGAAACAGTTGAGAGTTCAATCCATAAATGCAATGTTTGATTCTGCTCTAACACACAATGTGATTCATGTTATTTTTTATTGTAATTTTAATAAACATTGTGACTGCTGGTAGCATCTAGAAACCATCGTAACATAGGGTTTTATCTATCAATTCATCCTAGTTGAACAGTAGCATAGACACTGGTTTTCCTATCAATATGATTATTCATTCAAAAAATTATTCCAATAAATAAATTTGTAGTGTAGAGGTAAATTTTTTGGTTTTGCAGTTTATTAAATTGCTATTCATATCAAAAATGAAAATTATGTTATGCTGGTTTCTAGTGTGACCATCAGTATACAGAAATCATTCCTGAAAGTTTGTTCATAAGCAAAACGGTTGTTAATGTTGAGCTTTAATGTTCTGAGTTTTAAAGGATTTTCCTTGATATATCATCCATCGAGATTTTTTGACTTTGGGAGTTTTATGACGTAGATTTTATTGTTATTGTTTGACGGGTGAAATATTTTTTTAAATTATTTACAATATACTCTTAAGAAGGATACCAATCTGCTAGCATGTTATATTTGTCAATTTATATTCTATGAGGGTATAGAGAAATAAAGACTTACATGTTTAAACAAATGTTTCTTTATTCATTGCTGAATCCTTAATAGTACTATCATTAATGCTGAAGTAAGTTATCGCCAACATACGGACGTCTCTGACAACACTCACAGAAAGAGATGTTAGCATGACAAGTGACAGAAGTCATGCATTTAGTCAAACCTACTCATGTCTTCTATATCATCATCCTCACAGCTACTGTCTTTCATCATAACTTCTGCCTTATCAGTTTCCTCGGGTATTCCAGCAAAGTCTATTGGTCTACTGACAGGGTTCAACTTTAGCCTTAAAGCAGCCAAACTGATCAAAACTGCCTCTTCAGTTCGAATGGTCTTTGACCCTTGATTTGGACACATGTTTAGGTAGAAGTCATACAAATTTCTGGGATCATCTGTATCCAATATTTGGTCATTCTCTAATGCTGCTTCAAGCCCCTGTAAGCCTCCAAACATGACCAGAGCATGTCTGTACTTTGGGCTTGAGAAGTCATCAACTGGTGTACCTTTATCAGAGGTTCCTATGGTGAGGTCATAGCTAGAAAAGGTATTGCAAAAATGAAACTGTGACCATAACCCTATTTTTACATACCACAAAACAAGCATAACCTAATGTTAGTATATACAAAAAAAAACAGTTGGGGTTTTTAATGTAAAATTCTCATACCCTTCTTTATATGGACACTGTGAGAAGACCTTGGACAAAGAAGTTGCAATGCGAACTGAATAGCCCCAATATACTCCAGTCTCCTTTCTGGGTGTACTAGGTGGTACTATAACACCTTTGTGTTTAGTCTTGGTTTCTTGTTCTAGAAATATTTTAACTGTGCATCTTAAACCAGGTACTAAACTTTTGTCTACTAGTACATCTTTGTTTAGCCCCACATATACATATGCACCATTCTTGGCTGGCTTTTTAGAAACAACACCTTCTCTGAAAAAAAATGAGATAATGCATAAGGAAAATATTTTCCTACAAGTTTTTATACTATTATCTTATTTCAAAATTAATATATACCTGAAAGTGAATTTCTCATTAGGTCCCAAATGGTGAGGTGCATTAAGGGGACTCAATATTCCACAAAACTTCAAATCATTATGTATTGGAAAAAAGTGTTTGCGTAGATACTGAGGGCACTCCAGATACTGTAAGATTCTTCCAAATTGGACACAAGAATGGCGAGCTACAGTAACACCATCTTCATTTTCCAAACTGAAAGCATTAATTGCCAATGTTAGAAAACTAGAGCAACAATTATGAAATCATAAAGATTATTTCAAAGTTATTACATTAGTCATTATTAATAAATTACTACAAGTTTTTGTTTATGAAATAGAACCAATACATGTATTTTATGTCAATTAAAAAAATTAAATGGTGCACACTAAAAACAGTTAACATTTTTATAATTTCAAGGATAAAGCACAAAACTGCATTAAAGTACATTTTTTATGTTACCTAGATTTCTTTGCACTAGCTTCATCGCCATAGTCGTCAAATATAACAATCTCATCAGCTTGGAAAATGCATGCCGCTCTTGCGATCTGACCCGCTAAATATGTTCGCAATTCTAGAGATTGTGCATTTTCTAATATAGATCCTGGGACAGCAATTGAGAGAGTGGATATAAAAATAGGAACGTCGTCAGCAAAGGAATTATCTACACTGATTTTCGTTTCTTTCTTTTCAGACTTTTCCGCTATCTTCTTTTTTTCTTTCTCTATTTTTCTTAACAAATTTTGCTCTTTCCATTTCTTTCTCTCCTCTTTTCTAGCTTTGTTCACCTCACTCCAAGTTTTCTTTTTCAGATTTTCTCCCTTAGTAGGAGGCATTATTGTGATTTTCAGCGGCTTACCATCGCTTTTATTTATTGATTAATGTCAACTTTTTTAACTCTAACCTAACCTATAAATCGCTACATTATGTCAGGCATGCACGTGTTGGGATCAACATCTGTGTCAAGGTTGTAACGGTCCTCGAGGTCAATGTCACTTTGGATTTTGTGAATCAGAAAAATGGATTACAAATATGGGATGTAGAAAAATCACCAATCAAAAGATTTTTGTTCACCTCTTATTTTTATTATGATGCACAATACTTTTTACGGTAATTTAAATATCAATATGAATGAATAAAAAAAATAAATAAATGATAAAACTTTTATTAATTTATACAAAATGCAGATTTGCTTAAAACAAAAACACCACCAACCTTGTTTTGTCTGTAGAAACACGTACAATGTGAATATTTATTTAATTTACCCAACTATTAACTATTTGGAAAACATCATTACGCCTCAAATCTTATATATCTCCATTAATATTATTAGTCCCTATTTTATTCCAAGCATTTTTATGAGGTTTTAGTGAAATCGCAAAGGTAGCAAAAATATCGGATGAGTTGACAACACCGCAATCCAGGTGACAAAAATTGACACGTGAGCTATAATGTCTAGCCCGGGGTACCAAGAGTCTCATTTCGGATTCATATCTTTTTTGCAATTTTTATTTCCATTTTTTAAGTGTTGTAAAATTTCACTGTGGATAGTCTTATTCGGGATAGTCGAATATATGCCAACAAATATTTTGCATGGCCACTTTTGTTCCACTCGGACTAGTCGGGTTTGATTATCTGCGGCAATGCGCTGGACGGATCGCGCCATCTATTTTAGAGCAATAAGAGCTGATCACATGTCATTCAACTCTAAGTACTACCTTCTCTGCCAACAGAGGTCGTTGGCATACCAAACAGAAAATCCAATTCTTCTTACGTTTTACTTTATTCACGTTTTACCGCCACATGGTCTATATTTGCTGATTATTTTCCACTCCATAAATAGAAATTCCATAAAAAAGCGTAAGTTCTAGAGCATACTTCCCTAAGTTCATTATGAAGTACATCCTGATAACTGGTGGAGTGATTAGCGGAGTTGGCAAGGGAGTTATCTCAAGTTCTTTTGGAGCAATCTTGAAATGCTGCGGAATCGAGGTAACATCGATAAAAATTGACCCCTACATTAATTTGGACGCAGGGACATTTTCACCATACGAACATGGTAAGTGATTCAATATTTAATCATATATTTAGTAGGATGACACTTTTGTTCTCTGTTTTTCCTGGATATAATATTCATCCTTGCAAAAATGTCTGTTATGCTAAAGGCACGTTACTGTAAGGGTTTTAAAGCATAAAGCATTTAAAAAACCTTTTAACAAATTAAAGAAGCGTTTAAAAAGATATCATGTGGGAGTAACATTTTTTTATCATTACTGTATGAATTGATGAACTTTCGAAACATTTTAATGACTTATTCACTTGTATGGCAAACCACATTACAATGGACTCTACTAAATCATTGAACACATGAAAAAAGTTGAGTCACATTTTGTAGATATAACCTTTCAGTTGCAGAAGGGTCATACAAAGAGTTTCTGCTATTCTATGGAATGTAAAGCCACAAGTAATATTGTTAGCAGATGTTTATTGAAAGTCTTATGTATCCTACCTAGGAACATACAGAAAGTGATATTTCTGATGAAACTTGACTGAAATGCATAATTGAAGTTATACATCCTTATTGAGAGTCAAATGTAATTTAAGCAGCAGACTGACTTGTCGTGAGCTCATAGGAATTTTGAAGAAGAGGGGTTATCCAAAATTTGTATTCCAAGCCATGTTTATATGAGATGTGACCTCATATCAATCATAGACAAAATTATGGGGGTAGCTTCTTACGTTAAGGGACTTCTCTATCTTTAACTGCATAATGTAACACACATTCTTAAAAAGTGTACATATTACTGTTTGTAATTGTATGTCAATGAAATGTAGATATTTTTATCTTGTATTATTCTCATTTTATAGGTGAAGTATATGTCTTGGATGATGGTGGTGAAGTAGATCTAGATCTAGGAAATTATGAAAGGTTCCTAAATATAACCCTACATAAACAAAATAACATCACCACAGGAAAAATCTATCAAACAGTTATTGATAGAGAAAGACATGGTGATTACCTAGGTAAAACAGTACAAGGTAAACTATCACCAAAATCTTTCAGTAGAAATATAAAAATGTAAAATTCCACTTCTTTTTTTTTCAGTTGTACCTCATATAACAGATGCAATACAAGAATGGGTTGAAAGAGTAGCTCAAAAACCAGTATCAGTATCTGGTAAAAAGCCTGAAGTATGCATTATTGAACTAGGTGGTATTGTGGGTGATATCGAAAGTATGGCTTTTGTTGAAGCCTTTAGACAGTTTCAGTTCAGGGTAAAAAGGGAGAACTTCTGTGTAGCACATGTATCACTTGTTCCTCAGGTATGTAAAAAAGATTGTCATTTAGAAAAATGATACTGGATCCTTTTACATACTAAATAATGTATTTTTCTGCAGCCAAAAACCACGGGTGAGCACAAAACAAAACCAACACAGCAGTCAGTGAGAGAACTCAGAGGTTTAGGCCTGTCTCCAGATATAATAGTTTGCAGATCAGAAAGCCCTGTAGGTGATAGTGTTAAGGAGAAAATTTCAAATTTCTGCCATGTTGCTCCACAGCAGGTAATAATGTGAATTACATAAAATTGTGCCATTCCATGAACCCATTTAATAGAATTCTAGGTTTTTTTGTCAAAATTGTTTTCAGATTTTCATGCCTACATATGGCATTTTATACAAACAAATATAAAATTTAATGGCATTGTATGTATTGAGAGGCAGTCTCTTTGGGCATGAAGCTTGAGAGCCCTGCATTTTTGATATATTAACTGATAATTGAAGGTCAGTTGAAGTGTGAAAAAACTTTTTTTTTCCTGACAAAATACACAAGATATGCATAACTATTTTGAGTCCTGAATCCCATTTTTGTGGCCATGCAAGGTCATCTGAGGGCTGTTTCAAGGCTAGCCAAGGTCACAGTTGAGAAAGCCATTTAAAAATATAAAGTGCAATGCAATATCTTATTTCTGGATCACCCTGTATTGTACGACTATAGATGAAACTACGTCTCCCTAGAAATCTAAATTCACATGTTCTAGCATTTTTTCCAAAAGATACCAGGAGGGTCCCAAATGGGGATGAAACCTTTTCATTGAGCCACCCTGAATACAACTTTTTCTTCTGGAAGGTCACATAAAAATGTTGAGGAGGGTCTGCTCTTGAATGTCCAATAGCCACCGACCAGAATAACAACAACATCGCAGTTATTCCCTCAACAAATTCGAAGTTTTGATTCTGGAACGAACTTCAGATCGTCATACTTGTGTTTGTCACTCTCAAATCATTCCAGATCATCAGCATACCCGACCTGCACTCCGTCTATGAAGTACCGGTGTTCATGGAGAACCACGGCATGGCAGAGTACCTGAGCAATAGACTGCAGCTCAACATCACTCCGCTGCCACCTATGCGCAAATACATGAAGTCGTGGATCGAACTCGGAGAGCGCATGAAACATCTGAAGTACGAAGTGACGGTGGGCATTGTAGGGAAGTATACAAGATTGGAGGATTCGTACACGTCGATAAAAAAGGCGTTGAATCATGCTGGGAATGAAATTGGGTGCAGGGTGAACATCAAGTTTATAGAGGCGTCGAATTTGGAGGCGACCATGCTGTTGGATGATCCGGTGGCATATCATAGCGCGTGGCATAACTTGTGCGTTTGCGAGTAAGTCATTCGTTTTGATTGTTGAGATAGATTATATAGGAATTTTGTACGTGACATCTGGTGGAAAGTAAATTCCCACAAGCAAGAATTGATAGTGATCCCAGGCGGTTCGATTTCTACCCTAAGAATAATAATTACATAACATACAAATATTCAGAAAAATTCAGAAAAACAAAACTTGCATCTAAGTAAGCATTTTCACTGACCATGAAATGCTCTTTTTTCTTTTAAACAGCTTTAAATCACAAGTAGCTCATTATTTAGTTTACGAGGTATGTCGCAAAGTTAACAGGACTACAAGTAGCACCATCTATTATCGGAGACTAGCGTGGGATAGGTACATCCACAGCCGACGTCAACTAGTAGTAGTAGTTGACGTCGGCTATGGTACATCTTTCATTGATGCCCTGTTAAAATTTCATGACAATCGAACCACTTCACGTAGAGTTATCGCCCTCAAAGTAACGGTACCTTTTTAGCCTTGGGCGAAAAATGAGCAGTCACTATTAAGTTCTGTGCTAAACTTGGTAAAACATTTACCGAAACGCATCAGATGTTGATGCAAGTGTATGGTGATGATTGTTTATCTCGTAACCAAGATTGGTTTACGCGGTTCAAAGAGTGTCTCTGGAAGACGACGAACATGTTGGCCAGCCAAAATTTGTGATTATGCCAGAAACCGCGTCGAAAAAGTGCGTCAATTCATCAAAAATGATTCAAAATCTTTATCGATATTCATAGAAATGGAACTAAATATCTCTAAATTTGCCAAATATTCATATCATATCTGCCATCTCTAGTCAAATGTACTTTTTTGACACGGACTTATATTGTTTTTTTTTTAGTTGCGTCGTTGTACCTGGAGGTTTCGGCAAGCGGGGCGTAGAAGGCAAGATAGAGGCGTGCAAGTGGTGCAGAGTGAACGCTAAGCCCTTCCTGGGCATTTGCCTGGGATTCCAAACAGCTGTGATAGAATTCGCTAGGAACGTACTCAAAATGGAGGGCGCCAATTCCACTGAGGTCAATGAGGATACGAAATATCCTGTTGTGATAGACATGCCGGAGCACAATACCGGTGAAATGGGAGGGACGATGCGGTTAGGGAAGAGGAGTACTATATTCAAACCGTCCGTTGTGCCTAGTAAAATAAGTGAGTAGGTTTTTTTGTACTTAACTACTAATGCTATGTTTGTGAAGTTTTTACCGCTGCAAGCAAATGAAGTGCGCTTTTGTGACTAAATTTATAAAGACGCTTGACGCCCTGTGTTGTATTGTTTTGGAGAATAATGATGGTTATGAAATCGTATGCAAACTTTCTTCATTTCGCATGGGGCTTTTATCCATATTAATTCTGCGCCGTTCACTGTCTTGACTGCGACTGACTGCTTCCACCATCTGGTCGGGTATTTATACCCCTATCTACGAGTCGAGACCCATTACAGCGTTTTCCAGGCCGAGTCTACATACAAGTATCTTACTGAAAGAGATATTATATTATGGAAATCAAGGAGGCCATACAAGCGTCCTACAATTGTAGGAACGATTGACGAAACGTAGTTTTACGTATAATGTTGCCATAAGATATAACGGAATTCCTGAAGAAATTATGTTAATAAAAACGTCTATTTTCTTATTGTTGTATTAAAAAAAATGATATTAATATTTTTCAGATCGCTTATACGGCAGCAAGGAAAAGATCGACGAACGACACCGGCACCGATACGAAGTCAACCCCGAATATATCGAGGAATTCGAAAAATACGGCATGAAGTTTGTCGGCGTGGACGTGGATCAGCAGCGGATGGAGATCCTGGAGCTAGACAACCACCCGTATTACGTCGCGGTGCAGTTCCATCCGGAGTACCTGTCCAGGCCGATGAGCCCCTCGCCGCCGTTCATGGGGTTGATACTCGCCGCCAGGGATAAGCTCAAGTCGTACCTTCACAAAGGGTGCAAGCTATCGCCTAGGGAGCCGCAGTCGGATTACTACGATTCGGGTGAGTTTCTGTGGTAGTTGTAGGTTGAGGGATGTGGGTGTGATGTTTCTCCTGTATGCTGATGATTCATTGTCTATGTTTTCTAAGGTTCTGTTGAAAGAAGAGTAGTGTCATGACAGCAGTCAAAGGCTTCAGTTAGATCGAAAAAATCAGCCATCACATATAATTTGTTCTCAAAACTTAAAACAATTTTGGTGAAACTGTTTATTGAGGTTGTCGTTGACATACCTTTCCTGAAACCAAACTGACAAGTATTTAATAGATCGTTTGACTCTAGATCTAGATCAGTTGAACGATCCTTGAGGATGATCTCAAAAATAAGGTATAATTGATATGGTGCGATGATTTTAGAGTTCGTTAACCGATCCGTCCTTTTGTTAAATCTGTTTGTGTCTGTTCACTTTGTGTTTGATTGTAATCTCAATTGAACATTTTTTGTTTGTAGTATCTTAAAGATAAGCTTTGTTCAATATTTTCATTATCCTCCAAAAGTAGTTTCAATCTTCTACGATTTAAATTACTAAAGTTCCTGCAGATAAACCCTTTATTCAATTGTCTAATAAAACTACGAAAACAAAATATAATAATACATTTATTTTAATCACTTTTCAAATATACATATATATATATATATATATATATAAAATCAATTTGATGGTTTCTAGCTAAAATTTGATCTCTTCAGACAGTATTTAACTTATTATTCCAATTGTATTTTGCACAATCATATTACATGTTGTCCTCAAGGCTTGAGGACTCAAGCCAGTAGTTGTATTCCACACCTAAAGCGTGTACATTATCTTTTTTCAGATGAAGAGCTGCACGAACTGACAACAAAAAAACTAAACGTAGGTAGCAACGACCATGACGATAGCAGCAGTGCTTATAGCAGCTCCAGTGTCTCCTAAGAAATGTTTCTTTTAAGTGATATTTTTCGTTACGTTCCACAAATGAGAGCGATATACTTCAGTGTCAATGTTTCTTCCTTGTTTCAGTGTTACTTTTACAGTATTTGACGAATAAAGATTTCTTTCAAGTGACTTCTTACTCTGGCTTTGAGAAATAAAACGATACAGTAATATCATTAACATATTCTACCTGATGATATCCAACCAATCACTGTATTCCGGCGCCCAAAAAGTGGTCTGAAAGATCCTAGCGCCATCTATGGGACAGTGGCAGAACACAGAATTTCGATATAGAAAAGAGCTGGAGTGGTTGGTTCTGCTACTGCCGTATAGATGGCGTTAGGGTATTCGATTTTTTATTCCCTTTTTGATGTCTGTCCAATGCGTATTTTGATTGGGAGGTTTTAGGTGGAATATGTTAATCAATGCCTGAAGATACCCAATTAAAATAGGCGTTTTAGAGGCAAACAGGGATGCGATATATTTCCAAAATGAGATACTTCGTTGTTCGTCTATAACTTGGAAAGTAGCGGTCGGATGTTGATGAATTTTTCACACAACATTACCACTAGCCCAACGACGAAAAAGCTTTGTAGTTTTTGAAGATCGGTCCAGTGGAGGCGGAGAAAAGGGCCAATAACGAAAAAAATAAAAATTGCTCAAACTTGGTGTTTTGACGTTTCAGAGGATATGGATAAAGTTTTTTTTAGGGGTATAAAATAATCTTGCGCACCTGTTGGACCTATTTCACACATCATAGATCGCCCCGCATATTTGCCCTTAAAATGATAGAAAACTATTTTCGATAAGCACTGCTGCGTCTTCTGATTTCGACCAGCGTGCTGGTGTTCGTATGTGTCCTACATGACTGGTGTTCTATGGGCGCTCTGCCGCGTGTGACGCATCATGCATAAGGCAGGGAAATGATGTAATGGATTTAGTGTACGGACTTGTTTGACGGACTACATCCGTTTAATTTCTCTGTTATACATCTTCATAACTGTTCCGTTTTTTGGCTCATCAGCATAGTCTAGGTTTGGTCTCTGGGACAATCAACGAAAGCATAGAAACTATCGTCTAGCCAGAATATTAAGGTCTATCGTGCTGTCTTTTTTCATTACGGTCTAACGTGCGCTAAACATAATCCTTTGCGTCGAAAGTGTAGAGTCAACCTACTTGACGTTATCTTTTGGTGTTCTGCTACTGCCTTTAACGGCGGAAATACACGTAGAAAAACAAAAAAGCGTATTAAATATTGCATTTTATATTTGAGTTACAAAATTGAGACAATACAATAATATACGTCATGGATATGTTGAAGAACGACAAGATCGTGGATTTTCTCATTTTGAAAAATCCAGAAGCAGTGATTTCTGGTGCTATTGTTGATACCTGCTTTAGCAATTTCCTGATTTCTTTCTGTTCCTCTTCTAACAGAACAATATTTTGCTGCAGTTTATGGCATATACTTAATATTCTTCTTGAATCATTATACGTGCTGCCGCAGAAGTACATAATTGCCAATGGTCCAACCTAAAAATTTAGTGCGAACGTCTATTTTCTAAATCGTGCTAAGGACCGAGTCAACCTACTTGACGGAAACATTCTACTTACAGAGTTAATTATTATATAAAATAGTCGCAGTTCTATCTTGGCACTGTAGATTACCGTTAACAGCACTAGAACGAGAAATCCGTTGAACGTCATTAGGAGCAAATGCAATCCGAATACTTCATTGAAATATTTGATCTGCCTATTTAGATTCATATAGAATCTTCTCATGTTCTGACATCGAGTCCTGAAGTCTAGCGAAAGAGCAGTAGGGTGAAATGTTAAGCAGTTTATCGACTCTTGTTGCATTCTTATGGTGACGATGACACAGATGATGTACGCGATCATGGTCATTTTGTAGAAGTCTTGCAGCTTATTGGTAATGGATGACTCCAAATCCTCGCCATGATAAAAAATACATGCAACGTCGGTTACGAGTAACACAAAAAGGATCTTGTTCACCCTGTTTATCTGATGTCGGTATGAATCTTGACAGATATCGAACATTTCCAATTCTCGATTTGTTTCTAGAAATATCTTCATGAATTTCATCCAAGATCTTTCCCCTATAAAATCAGGGTGCGAAAATATGATACATTTTGTTACACGTCAATTCTACAATGCAAGTGAATCGATCATTTCAAAAATCGCACCGAGTGAATGGATCATGTCAAAAATCGCACAATTTCTCTTTTTCATGAGACAATAAATATGTGGGGCGAATCGGCGATTCCGCATAGAAGAGTGGGGGTATAGGCGATTGAAAATTAAACAAGACGTTCCAATTTGCTTAACTCTGATAATTCGGGGGGTTCTGGACCCCCAGGATCCGCCTCTGGCTGTATCCATATTTTTGTAGTTTTCAAAAGAAAACAAACCAAGGATCCTGGTAAAAGTCACTTGACCTATGTTGTTTTTGCAATGAGCATGTATTATTTGAAGCATAAGCAATATGGGGGGGTTTTGAAATGACCGATTCAAATACAACGTGAAAATTAAAATAAACTATATATTTTTTTAATTGGAGTCATGAGGATTACACAGAATCAGTAAAGGTTTATGATTTTTTAACTAACTACTAGGAAAAAAGAAACCTACCTACAACTATTTGCACAGTTGACATTAAATGAATACAAGCTGCCATTGCTCGAAACTTGAATGACAGATTCTCCGTCAGTGTGATATACATGAGATACGGTATGGCTATCAACGTTATTATTGAGAATATCACACAGTAGGTTTTGTGCCATTTTTTTATAGTTATCTTGGAAGTTTCGAAATAAGGGACGGCAGCCAAACAAATGCCTAACATACGAGGCCACCACCTTACCCTTTCATACATTATTAAATGACGAGAAAATGCTTCATTATTTTTGTAGCTTTAATATACCTGAGCATATTAGATCAAGTACCTAATCCATTAGCAATACTAATAATATGTCATACATGTCAATAATCCAAAGTTTTTAATGTCACACTAAGCTTGAATGTTTCGTTATGAGTATTATTAGATTGAAATCTATAATTTTCCGTGTTATCATAAATTGGAAAACGATGTCAAGTGGGTGGACTCGGTCTTTTTTATCGAAAATCGCTACAAGGAAATATGTTACATGTGCTTCAAATCTCCTATATACACTGAAAACCAAATACCACTGACATCGTAATATGTACAAGAGATGGCTTCCGTGACCTCACACTCGGGTTGCTAGGCATCGACGTGCTTCTGTCTCTCTCTAACATACATATCGCTTGCTTATCGCGTTTCTCTCTAGTACACGGCGTCAGACCAATTTGATCCTCAGTGGTGTTTGAATGACAGTTATTTGCTCCCAAACTGCTCTAGAAAATGTGTATGAGAATAAAAAGTGCAGTTGCACGATATTGATGCTGAGCACACTGGAAAGCAGCTCTGATGGCACGCAGATTCAAAGCACCAGATTATTGACAGAAGGTTTTAGTCGAGTACATAGTTATGAGTTTCAGTATAAAAACACTCGTTAGTTCTCACAGCTGTCTAAACTGTGAATGAAAATATCAAAATTACCCAACTCGTGAGCAGATAACCTAAATATACTCACGGAATTAATAAAAATGTAGTACTGTAAAAGTTCTTTTGGACCCTTCACTTGCGTCAGTAACACCACACATACAAATCCATATAAACTCATACAAAGTAATTGAAAACCAAATACACTATTGAACAATTTGATTTCCTTATTCATCATTATGTAAAGCTTTCGTATGACTTGTAACCTCTTCCTAGTGCTAAGTGCTAAAGCTGTAGGATGAAACGTCAGATAATTGATGGTTTGAAAATGTGCCTTCACGGTGATCAAAATACAGACAATATAAGCACTGAGAGTCCCTTTGAAGAGATCTTGTATCTTGTTCACCACACGAGCTTCAATATTGTCAGAGTCAAAGATGAAATATATGATATCGAGGATACAAAATATAAGGAATAACCCGTTTACTCGGAAAATGTTACGTCTATACGAGACTTGATTAAAATCAAACTTCTTCAGTTCTTCGTCAGTTTCCCTGATAATTTTCATAAAATCTGTCCAAGCTGTACCTATGATCACTCTGGATGTTGAAATCAGTTGTAAAGTTGAGGTAATGATTCGAAGTCTATAGTATGTCGTTGATGACGTTACTTCCTTATAAAATTCGTAAACCAATAATGCACTGAGCACTACCGTAACGAAGAGGCAATATATTCTAAAACCCTTTTTAATCGATATTCGTGTTTTATCAAAAACTGGCACGAAGGCAAAGAAAGAGCCGAATACTCGGGGCCAGCATTTGATGTCTTGATACATTTTATGACTATTTTGCGCCTACATCATGTTTCTATTTCCGTTTAATACGAACGTTAGAGGCAAATACATTTTACTATAATAATATAATTACATTACACCATTCAATTACACTAATTTCTATGAAAAACGTATTGACGCTCACGAGTAACTCGTCAGAAGATGAATTATTGACATATTAAAATTACAAGGAATGAACGCCTGCCATGTATAAATATAAAACATTGAGGAGCATGACCACTAGTTCTCTTCTGTCTAGTAGATAATTTGGCCTGGTATTCTGACTTGCCTACATGCGTATCTCTATCACCTGCAACACTAATTAATTTGTAACAGAAATAACATCTTAGAGTAAACCCTGATTCTTAGTTAATATCTCTTATAAATAGGACAACCTATAAACCTTTCTGGTTGGGTTTCGGTAAGATTGTGGATACATTTATAGAACCCTTAATGTCCTCTACTCAGATATATTTCGGGTACAACAACAGATATGTTTCAACGAAATGTTTCTGTACCACGTTGTAAAACATATTTGTTCCAAATTCTTATTTCTGATGCGATTCCAGACGTATCTTTTCTAAATCGATAATCTCCCGCGTTGTGCCCCTGAAAGCTGTTTTTTCTTGAAATTTGAATTTCAAACTGACAATTCTCTTTTGATACTAAACTTGATCGTGTAATCTGCGCAAAGCCTTAAAACTAATCAGCTATGGGATAACTTACACGTTTAAATAAAAAAAACCTTGAAGACAGAAACATAGCACGCCACTGGTAGATCACGATTTATCGATAGTGACAAGAATGACATAACATGCACCGATAAAAAGTTAGGTTATGTTTATACGAATTTTGTGTATACACTATACGAAACACGAAACCAAACAACTCTGAAGACGTCGTACGCAGCTTTTGCAACAAACTGCAGTTTATTTTCAACAAATTCAGAAGCAGTAGTTATATGAGAATAAAAAATGGTAGAGGACGTACAACGGCACTCTGTGCATACACTGGTATTCAGATCTCTGAAACGATCTCACGATATGTTTATTTCCAACCAAGGGAACTTACCGACTGTAGACGAAACGGCGTAAGTACAATCAGTTTTCTGTATTTATCCAAACAAAATATGACTACCAACCGTAATTTTCATCATTGTATTGTTTCAGTGAAAAAATTCGAAGAGCTGTAAAAGCCCGAGACTCCTATGGCTTAGTATTCGATGACGTAAAGAAAATGCAAGCTATGAAACACCTCCGTGAATCAGAAGCTGGTCCAAATCCTCCACCTCCTGGTACAGCAGAAAATGAACTCAACACAGCTGATGGGGCAATGGTTCCATATAATGATAATGCATTAGTAGCCAGAAATAATCCGAATACACCGAATCAGTTAGCACATATGATAAAGAAAGCTCCAACCATGCCAAAACCTAAGTGGCACCCACCTTGGAAGCTGTATAGAGTTATAGCTGGGCATTTGGGTTGGGTACGGTGCGCAGCTGTCGAACCTGGAAATGAGGTAAATATATCTTTTCTAGAAATGTGATTCACTCAGAATGAAAACCTGCTAGAGGTTCATCTGTATACAGTTTTGTGACAATAAGGGCTGTATAATAAGCCGCTCTTATAACTGTAGGATGCCTTTATGGCCTTGATTCTCATAGTATTTTCTTTCCTTTAGAAAGGCTGGGGTATTTCTATGTTTCTTCTGTTCTGTGTCAGAGTCACTGATCTCCTATTGTGAGGCTATGTGTTCTTTTTTACTTGTAGGAAATTTCAGACTGATCTCAGATGATATATATCAATAGCGTGAACAGTTTGTTGCAAATTTGTAACATAACCTCAAAATAGAGCACTCACATGGGTCAGTAGAAAACTTTGAAAATCAAGGAGGCCCTATAGGCATCCTAAAATTGTAGGAATGACCGACAATACAGCCATAACTAACATCTGCTTATCTAGCAACATTCAGAATTCTCATCAAACTCATTCACACCACTTCAGAATGAACCCAACAATTCAAGTGCCACTTATATTTTAACCTGTTTATGTCATTTAAGATCCTCTACCTTTAGCCAATGGAAGCTCAACATTTCTGCACTGTTGTTTATTTTGATGGGTGTAAATGTAATTTGAATAGAGTAAATAATATTCTCTCTGCTCCAAATCTGATCATCTTCATCATTGTTTTCAGTGGTTTGCTACTGGAGCTGCAGATAGGATAATCAAAATATGGGATCTAGCAAGTGGGCAACTGAAAGTGTCACTCACAGGACATGTCAGTACAGTTAGAGGACTTGCAGTAAGTGCCAGACATCCATATCTGTTCAGTTGTGGAGAAGATAGGCAAGTGAAGTGTTGGGATCTTGAATACAATAAGGTAAGTAAAGTTTTAGGTCATTTTAGAGTGATAGCATAGTTTGTATTATTATATTATTTATTCAATTATAGCATTTTCATGATATTTCATCACATTTTGACATTTATTGAGGTGAACAGCTGATTAGCAAGTGACATCTTTGTATTGAAGCCTGTACTTTTGACAGTAATGAATTTGATGAAGCTCAGGACCATATTCGGAAGTGCTTATTTCAAACACTAATTACAAATGTTTGCACTTGCCTTACTTGAAATATAGTCATGATCATGATGATTAGCTGCCATATTGTTTGCATCATTTTTTCTTTGTGCATAAAAACTTTTTTAAATAAAAAGCATTGTTAGTAAGTACGAATTAATTGATTACAAAAAATCACTACAAAATACGACTTTGTTTACAAATCTGGTGTTAACAGATCTGACAGAATTCTGGGTCTCATCCCAAAAGGGGTATTTTGAGTATTATCAGCTGTTATTTGCTGTCACATTTAACATAATGAAGTATCGTTTAAAAATAATATACAGCACTTAGAACCTTGGTCTTAAGGGCGTTTTTATGGAGTGGAAATAGGGTATTTTGAGGCTTTGTTATTTGTATATGAAACACAATCTTGCATCAGTAGCCATTTTTTTGCTCCTTGTCAGCTGTACTTTGGTTTCTCTATTTTAGTTATGTTTTATTGAAAATACTTTTTTCACAATAATGTATCAATCTTAGGTGATAAGGCACTACCATGGACATCTATCAGCAGTATATTCACTAGCTCTCCATCCAACAATTGACGTATTGTTGACAGCTGGTCGCGATTCCACCGCCAGGGTATGGGACATGCGCACTAAGGCGAATGTTCACACTTTAACTGGACATACGCATACAGTGACAACTGTCATTGCTCAAGCTAGTGAACCACAAGTCATTACAGGTATGGAATCTTCTATGTGACAATCGCCAATTTAATTACACAGTTTATAAACTTGTTAAAAATCAATATTTTTTTTTTCAGGAAGTCATGATTCTACAATTAGATTATGGGACCTTGCAGCTGGAAAATCAATATGCACCCTAACCAATCACAAAAAGAGCGTGAGAGATGTTGTTTTCCACCCGACCTTGTGAGTGTAGCTGAACTCTCAGTTTTTAGTTTTATTTTATTTATTATATCTTTTGTTACAGAAATATGTTTGCTTCATGCTCACCTGATAATATAAAACAATGGAAATGTCCAGATGGAAAGTTTATCCAGAATTTGTCTGGCCACAATTGTATTGTCAATTGTCTTGCTGTGAACCCTGAAAGTGTTCTGGTATCTGCAGGAGATAATGGTACTATGTTCTTCTGGGATTGGAGGACTGGCTATAACTTCCAAAGGTAAATGTGTTTCGCATGATTGTGTTACAACGGTTGTGGGTGGGTTTTCGCGTTTTTTTGTGAGGGTTTTTGGCGTTTTTGGTACGATGGACGAGGGTGACGTATTCGGTAGACAGATAGCATCGTGCTCGCTGGTCTTTTAGAGGGTTGGACGTCCTTGTTTGAGAATACCTTTAGAAGTTGAGCTTCTAAGAACCTATTAAGGATGTGTTCTCAAAAAATAAATATTTTGAATGGATTTTTTTTTTCAGGTTACAAGCTCCAGTTCAACCTGGATCAATGGACAGTGAAGCTGGCATATTCTCAATGACATTCGATAATTCCGGATCTAGATTGATAACGACCGAGGCTGATAAGACGATAAAAATATACAAGGAAGACGACACGGCGACTGAGGAGACACATCCCATCAACTGGAAACCGGATATACTTAAGAGGAGGAAGTTTTAAAGCAAAGTTTGTTTTTTATTTTTTTCCATATTTTCTATTTATCTTCCTTTGTCAATTTTTAATAAAACCATCCTTGTGCAGAAGAAACATTAGGTCCGACTTTTTTTTACTAACCTGAGAAATCATTGCATTTTGTGGCAACTCTTCTATGACAATCTTTACGTATAGGCAACCGTGAAGGTATTTATTTGACGTCGGAATGTGCTGAAACGAATTCAGAACACTTTGAAATTGGTTTGGTTGTTCTGCATTCTCGATACCCTAGTATGGAAGACACGGTCGTACCTACCGGTTCTAAAAGTATACGATACAAATTTGAAACGAGAAACCTGCCAAGTGCTTGTCATTTAATGTTAGTTTGCTGGTGACGAGAACGACAGGAATTCAAGAAATGCTCATTTTGTTACCTCAATTAAGGCTGCGCAACTTTTTAGGATCTTAGGCCCGTATCGTCAGTCGTCCCTACAATTGTAGGGCGCGTTTTTTGGCCTCCTTGATTGTCATACTTCTTTCTCTCCTTCAAAAATTTCTAGATTACACTTGTCCCGTGTCAGCGTCAGCGCTCTCCTATTGTGAAGATATGTTTTCTTTTTAAATTGTAGGAAATTTCAGGCTGATAAAACATGATATAACTCAAAAGCAAGCAAAATTTGATGCAAATAGATGTTTGTGACATAACCTCAAAATAGAGTTCTGACACGGAGAAGTAGGAAACTATGACAATCAAGGAGGCCATAAAGGCGCCCTACAATTGTAGGGACGACTGACGATACGGGCCTAAGGGAAGGCGTTTTTGACGTGATGGAGCTAATGAATATAGTCGATTTTTGTTAAAATATCTCTGGTAGAGAAAAAATATAGAATGTGGGGGGGGTCTCATATCTACCAACTGAGCACAGTTTTCGCGGGATAACAACCGTCAGGATCTAGTTACGCCACTGCGTTTTATTCGTTATACTACGCAGTAGAAAAAATAAATTTCTACATTTTATAAACGTCAAAACTTTTATAACAAAGCTTATTTACATAAACAGTCACAGATAATGATTCATATTCAAAATAATATAACAAATGGTGTCATTTTACTTTTTTACTCTTAAGCATTTTCTTCTTCCTGTGCTGAAGGCTGATTCCCATAAATTGGAAGCTCATCAATATGGATATTTTGCCAATGAAAAATATAATTCTTAGTGGCCATCCTACTCTACCGTGGATTGGGTAGAGCCACACGCCATGTTGAATATAGATGAAGACATATCTGAAATGAGACATTCATTTTCAAAGATACATATATTCTTTGCAGTTATTTAGAGCTGAGATCACATCTCAGGTGACAGGCTTAGGCCCAGTTTTTTAATCGCTGGTCAACTTTCAACTTTGGTGACTATAACTTTTAAGTTAAATAGTAGTTGTCCGTGAATTGGCTTTTCAAGTTATGGTTAATTAACTCGTAATTGTTGATCTGGCAATGCTGTTTCTACAATATCCGTAAATTGAGTAATGAGACTGTTTTATTCAAAAATAACTAATTTTTTTTACTGTCACCCCAAACTAACTTCCTTCTGAAGCATACCGTTGCTCGAAATTTTCATTTTTAGAACAATAGGAAAAACTGTTTCATAAAAAAATCGCTTTGGACAGCCAAATGACTCGAGCGAGTTCAAACGTGTATTGAAGGCAGATCACATGTTCCAGAGTTTCCCCAGCCCGGCGCCTCCAGTGTTGCCAGATCGAACGCTACGTTGCCAGTTTCATCACTTTACAGACCTCGCATGTTTTTACCGTTGATGATAAATGATTTTAATTCATTTTACTTACAATATTTGATATACCACAGCGAATAGGAACAATGTCCTTGCCGCCACTTTGTAGTCGACAAAACTGTATTTTTTCGGTGCCAGGATCTCTACGACCACCGGCACCACAATAAAAGTATGCAACATGTGGTTTAACCAATCTGGGAACACTCTGCTCAATTCTGATGGGAAGATTAACTCTTTGTCTATGTGCCAGATGACCCAAAATACCTGAAACCATTATTACAAGTTACAAAAACGTGCTTTATAGCGTTTGGTGTCCTTATTACATATATTATTATACAGGGTTTTCGAAGTTGAGACATTTATTTTAACTGCTTGAAGGACTCTTCAAAAGGAGTTGATTTACCAACAATCACATACACATACATGTATAAAAGTTGCATAATAAAAAAATAGTAAAAGATTAAGAATTAAAAAAATAAGAATCTTACAACACAGATTTTTTGAAATTCTCGAGCACTGCCGAGTAGAAATCTTGATGTTTTTTGTTTACAACTCTTAACGTTTATCTAAATTTGGCAAACTTTTTGTGTTATTGTTTGGTTTTCAGTACGAGTCTTTGGTTTGATCAGTTGTATCAGTTCTTTAATAGTGCGTATACTTTCATTAGTAAAAACGGTATGATTTTTTTAAATAATTTTTAATAATGTAAACTATCTTATAATGCAACCTTTATATAGGCGATTTTTGGTATATGAACTTTTGACGAGTTCTACAAGCTGTTAAAATAAATGACTCAACTTTGAAAACACCCTGTATAATAAAGTGTATTCTAATAAGGATGGGATATGTGGTTCCAAGTTCTAGTAGGAATGCAGTATGTACAACACCAAACGCCATAAAGGACAATCTGTGCCATTTTCAAATCAAAAACAACTGTGCGATAATCACTGTTGCCATAAAATACGTACCGATACAGTCAACATTGTACAAGGCAGTGTGAATGTGTCAAAAATGACAGCTCTAGCTCTTCCTAATTTTTTGCGAACACTGAGGCTGAGGTTCAATACTTCAGACACCTCGTGGGACACTGCCAGTCCTAGGAATGTCATTTGCATTATCTGAAACCAAAACGAAAAAAAATTATACACTACTCAAAAAAATTTTCGGTGATTTTTTACAGACTGCATTTTGGTGAAAATTTTGCTTACAGCTTTTTTAGTCGAAAAATTATACAGGGTTATCCAAATTAAGTGTCCACCATTAGTAACTTTGTTATTAGTGAAAATACAAAGTTGTTTGAATTAGCAAACTAGTAGCATTTTTAACGCTGGTAAAAATGAGAAATAAAAAAAAACAATTGAGAGTCGTTATTTTGATTTTTTTCAGTAAAATAACATTTTTTTAAATGGAAACCCCTGTATATTATATTTTTTTCTGTTAAAGCATCAAATTTTAAACAAAAAAGTTCATAATGACTTTTCCGCTAAAGTCAAAAATAAAGTCAAAATAACGATAAATATTTTTAATTATTTGCAGTATTATAATATTAAGACGGCTATGAAAACAACATGGCGTTCGCGATTTGACAGCATTAAGATAAGCGACAAATTGTTAAACTGGACATACTCGCAACTAGAAGGCTTTGGAAAACAATGATAAAATCAAATAATGTCAAACATTAGTGTAAATACTTGTTTATGAGCTTTATTGTGTCATTAATTTAAAGAAAAATGTTCTCCCATGAAGAAAAGTGTGATATGTTAGAATGCTATTTAGTGTGCAGAAAATCCTCCTTGAGAGCAAGAGAATACTACAGTGAATTATATCCCGCTCGCATTCAACCGTATGAACGATATTTTCTGAGACTTTATCGAAAATTTAGGGGCAACGAAAATGTTTTTGCTAAAACAAGGGCAAAAAAAGAATTCATAATAAGCGAGGCCACGGAAATTGCAGTTATTGGATATTTTGAAGCTTATCGTGAGAATTCAATAGCAGATATTCTCAAGGACTCTAATTTCAGTTATGGTACTGTTCAAAGGATTTTAAAAAAATACAAATTTATTCCGTATAAGTACCGACCAGTTCAAACGCTTTTGGCAGGGGATCCAGAGAGAAGACTTGTTTTTTGCCATTGGTATCTTAGCTTCTGTCGCCAAAATGTAAATAACTTTCGTTACCTTTTATGGACAGATGAATCAAATTTTTCAAATTCTGGAATGTTTAATAGAAAAAACCACCATTATTGGTCAAGAGAAAATCTTTTGTTAGTACATCCAAGAGGCCCACAAGTCCGTTTCAGTTTCAACGTTTGGTGCGGTATAATTGGTTCAAAAATTGTTGGCCCGTTCTTTTATGAGGGAACCCTAACTGGTGAAAGATATGTGGAATTTATGTCAGAAATTCTGACTAATTTCTTAGACGAATTGGATCTTATAAGTAGACATCATCTGCATTTTCAGCAAGATGGCGCACCTGCCCACAACTCCAGAGGTACTTATCATTTTCTAAGTACTACTTTTAATGATCAGTGGATAGGAACAAATGGCCCAATACAGTGGCCTCCCAGATCACCAGATCTAAACCCACTTGATTACTTCTTGTGGGGTTACTTAAAGAACCAAATTTACAAGCGAAGGTACGATAACCTTGACGCGTTAAAGACTGCAGTTAGGGAAAAGATAACCCAGATAGATGGCAGGACCATACTTAAGACAGTTCGAGCAGTTGAAAAACGTGCCCAAAAATGTATTGAAGAACAAGGTGGTGTTTTCGAGCATCTTCTTTAAAAAAATTGTTATTGTATTTTGTAAGATTATAAGTTGATGTTGAAAATAAAGTTTGTCGATACAATTTAATTGTTTCAGATTGGAGGCCATAACTTCAACAATTTGTAACCTAGGAGAAAAGTTATTGTAAGCTTTTTTGTTTAAAATTTGATGCTTTAACAGAAAAAAATATAATATACAGGGGTTTCCATTTAAAAAAATGTTATTTCACTGAAAAAAATCAAAATAACGACTCTCAATTGTTTTTTTTTATTTCTCATTTTTACCAGCGTTAAAAATGCTACTAGTTTGCTAATTCAAACAACTTTGTATTTTCACTAATAACAAAGTTACTAATGGTGGACACTTAATTTGGATAACCCTGTAGGAGCACCGATTCTCATGCAATTCTAACAGATATCGCAAGAAAAATTGTTTGCAGACTCTTTTCCTTCCTTTTAGTTCAAAGTTGAAATGGATCAGATAGCCCGTTTATTCAGCTTCAATATCCTGTTTTTAAAATCTCATCGATGCGATCATTCTAGAAAATCCACATTTGATAAGACACGATAGATCACAGTATCGTTTTTAAAGTCAATATGTGGACCGGGATTCTGAATGGGAGAATCATTGTACACGTTGAGCTACCAGAGTTCTATAATGAAGAAATTTATCAGAATTTTTACAAAATGATTTACCAAATTTATTGCGAGTCGTGCAACTAAGCATTTACAGAGACATGCGGTACCAGCAATACATTCATGAATTAACGAATTAGTAAAAGTGGCGTTACTGTCACTACTTAGAATGTCCGTCAATCCGTCTAAGAAAAATTTGAAATTTGTAATGGGAAGTGAAAGATCATCACAGGTTGTGTTTTTTCCGATTTATCCGATTTTTTATAATTTGAAATGGAAATCGAAATCTTAGCTGAGCTACGGGACAATAACGGGAGTAGCTGAATTTTTTAATAATGCAAGATTCTCCCGTCTAATAACCCGCATGGGTATCATATAAAAAACCTATAAAACGTCAAAAAAAACCTATAAGATGTCATCTTGCAAACCAGGTAGTTTTTAGGGCGCAAACAGTCATTCCACGTTTGCTTACTAGGATCGTTGTAAACGTCCATCTAAGGAGGAATCACTCAACTAAACTACACGCATTATTGGTTGCATATGTTTTGTGAGGCTAAATGGTCCTTGTGTGTGGTTTTTATCTCTGAGAAGAAAGTTGGTTGAATAGCAAGACCGCTTCTGGATGATTATGTGTACCTATAGGTCTACATGTGTATAAAATTAGTGATATTTGCTGTGTGAGAAAATCATTACTGAATATGCTGAATATGACAGGTTATTTATATGTTGTGCTTTCTGAAGAGAGGTTATGTTCAAAGTTATAAATTACGAAAAACTGAGGAGAATTACGGGAAATCGTTATCGCGTCCGCGTTGTGTGTAATTACTGTTAGCATATATATGAATTGTAATTCGACTGTGTACAGTGAATATAATTATTTCTTATCCCTCTCATTTCTGAAATTCAGCAAATTTGTATATGTAATTTCCAAAATGGATAACAAAAAGTGGATGCGCAACTAATTTCTAGCTTTGAATCTCAATTAAGTGTATTTGAGACAAGAACTCAACGTAATTATCATCAACTCATACAGCTTAGACCTCCAGTAATGCCATCTCGGAAGCAGATTTTACATCACATCAGAGCCCAACATTGAAAACAAGCCTCATGACGTTTAGGCAACACGTTCAACTAAGTGCTAAGTTAACATCTTGTAGAATAACCTACATAATGTCAAAAAAAACAAGCATAATGTCAAAAAAAATCGGCATAATGTCACTTTTCAAGAAACGTGATACCCGTGCCGGATTTGAATGGGAGAATCATGGTACACCTTGAGCCACCAGAGGTCTTGAATGGCGAAATTTATTTAGACTTTTTATAAAATCATTTACCAAATTTATTGGAAGACGTACCACTAGGCATTTACAGAGACATGCGGTACCACCAATACAGTCACGAATTAATAAAGGTGGCGTTACTGTCTTGCTGTCACTCCTACGTAGAATGACAGTGTCAGTCACATGTCGAAATTTGTTTTAGAGGGAAAAAAAGATCATCACAGAGTGTAGATTTTTCCGATTTCTCCGATTTTTCATAATTGGAACGATTCAGATTTTTTAATATTATTCTGATAACTATTATGACTTGAACTATCCCCATTTCCTGCTTGATATCGACTTCTAGGACTCCTGTATGTAGTGCTCCCATTTCAAATACATGATTTCCCTTTGAACCAATAGTACACATCTATCGTCAGGCGATAGCAGATATCCGCCCTTTAGCCACACCTCTGACCCCGCCTATGCCTATTATGATTAAATGTATAATATCTATGAAATATATACTTACGAAAGTCCATATAGTAAAAAACGACCAACTATATTTGTGCATTATTTTTATCGTGTGACTTTCGTACTCAAGTCTCTCAAGATGATGACATCCTACCAGTGAATACAATTCAGCTAGCAGCATTACTGTGTATATAAGAATCACCCAAATCCTGTTAGAAATCATAGCTCCGCGGTGACAACTTTTAACTTCTCGACTATAAAACCGTAAACTAATATTATGCGAATATTGACTGGCATTGAATTTATAATCGAGTACGCTTGCGATAAATGAGTTTAGGATAACGGTCGATTGCTTGATATCTCAGGTAAATGCTAGGTAGTGACATGAGCAGCCATATGATGTCTAGTTGTCTTTTTTTAGCGGAAACCTGTTTTTAATGTAAGCTGTTTCATTTTTAGATATACTGCTGTACAGAAAAATGAGTAAAACATGCATTATCACTTGATAGTATTTTAGGGGAACAAAGAAATTAGACTAAACGTACACCTAAGCTAAGCTCATTGGCGTAGCTAAAATCTAACCTAATTAATAAAACATAAAAACAAAAAACTGAAACAAACAACAGTAGTAAAATTAAAAGTGATTCTTACTAAGTATAAAACAAAAAATAACAAACAGCAGTAAAATAAAAAGCAATTCCATTTAATTATAAAAAACTAAAAATAACAAACAGTAAAATACAAAGCAATTTGGATGGAAAGAAATTATTCTTCGTTTTACTACTGTTTTTACTTTTTGTTTAGTGTTGTCACTTAGAATTGCTTTTTATTCAACAATGAATTGTTTTTTTTGTTTTAGTACTGTTTTTATTTTTTGTTTTTTATAATCACTTAGAATTGCTTTTTATTTCACTGCTGTTTCTTATTTTTTGTTTTTTATAATTACATGGAATTAGTTCTTGTTTTACTACTGTTTTTATTTTTTGTTTTTTATAATTGTTTATAATTTATCAGTTTCTGGCTTGCTACTGTTATTTTTTGATTTATACTTATAAGGAATCGCCTTTTATTTTGCTACTGTTGTTTGTTTCAGTTTTTCGTTTTTGTGATTCATTAATAATTAATACATGTATATAAATTTTGCACTTTTCATATTTTTCCCTAAATGCGGAGCCCAATCCGGCAACACCGCAGGCAAGCGCCTCTCATATATGACATATGCACAGACGTCTACGTCATATGGCAGATAGATGGCGGTGGAAATAATGATGGAAAGAACAGCTAAAAATGCTGTGTTTTGGGAAAAAAATTTCATGAAAAGCGTATTTCATCCACACTTTTTTTGTTTCTAAATAATCTATCAGACTAGCCTCTGAAAGTTTTAGGAGAAAAAACAGTGAAATCGGAAGTTCTACAAGACGCAACAGCACTCGTGAGCCTATTCAACATACCAATATCTACGCCTATGTCTATGATTCATACATTACGTGCATAATGATCGATGAACATTATTATCTATATGTGTAAAGTACTTACGATAGTCCACACAGTGAAAAATAACAAAAAGTATTTCCCCATTATTTGTAGATTGTAACTTTTGTGGTCCAGTTTTTCAATCCTCTGGCATGCCAGTAAAGAATACAGTTCAGCAAATAAGGTGCAGGTGTAGATTAAAATCAAGGGAATCCCATTAGGAATCATCGCGAGACAACACTTTATGTAGGTACGCGATAATGTTATGTGAGGAATTGAAGCTAATTTTGGTTTTACATACGTAGTAGCGAATTTAAAATAAAGGTCAACCGCTTTTCATTCTGCTATCATCTTTGCGTAAGTGGAAAGTGCTACGGAGATGATTTCTATTGGTGTTGGGGAATAAAATCGATGTATTAGAAATCGAATACATAGTCGAATTGAAGATAGGCTAAAATGCAAATATTTGCGACGCAGTTATGTGGAAAAGCTACACTCAAACTAAAAATAATTTACCGTTGTAGTTTGATAGCAGTTTTCCAGAGCTCTCATTAAAAAATGTTGCAGCATTATTCGATTTTGAGCAGCAGTAATGGAAACTCGATGTTTCAAGAGTTTTGTTCCAAACAACGAATGGAAACTGGAGTTTCTTATCAACTCAGCTTTTATTAAGAAGATATTGCAGCATTATTAAATTTTGTGCGGTAATAATGCAAACTGGACCTTATTCTTGTAAACTATCACGTAAACGTTCGGTAGCTTCACCTTTCAGTACTGGGTATGCCGTCTTCTAGAAGCTACGAAGGTTTAATGCTGCCATTTCTTGCCAAACATTTGAAGCTTATTTTTGGCAGTGTTTCGATTGGTCAAATACGCTAATGGATTCTAGAGATAATTTGAATCTAAACATACATTTTATTACTGAGCTAATACGTGTAATATTCTGCGTAGAGCGCTGACTGTTAAGTATAGTTATAGGACAATTTACAGATTTGGGAATAACTTCTGTTATCAATACATACATGTCACACTTCGTGGGAGTAGATACGAGGGATGTCTTTTAAGTTTTGCATATTGAAACATAGTAGGCCGCGCGGATCGAACATCAGTACTGAATCTTAACCTCACTCTTTAGTAAACTTAAATTCAAAGTTTCACAACAATACGTGCAGTGTTCTCACTACAGTGAATTTTTAAGTGTCACCAAGTCATTAGAAAAATGGAACTCAACCGAGAACATTTTCGCGCCATAATTTATTACAACTTGCAGAGACAATTATCGCAACAAGAATGCCTTGCTGAGTTATTGTCTGTTTTCGGCAACGCAGCTCCACATCAGTCGACAATTTTCCGTTGGTATGAAGAATTCAAACGTGGACGGGTATCTTAGCAACGATCCCAGGGTGGGTGCACCAAAAACGACAGTCACCCAGGAAAACGTCGATGCTTTGCGCAAACTCATCATTGAAGATAGAAATGTGACATATCGCGAGATTGAGGCGTCCTTGAAGATCTCAAAGACATCAATTCAAAAAATTTTACATGAAGAATTAGGAGTAAGAAAATTTGCTTTTTGGATACCCCATCTGTTGACTGAAGAGCAGAAAGCAGTCAGGGTTAATTGGTGTCAAAAAACGCTTGACCGTTTCAATTCCGAAAACTCAAAAAATGCTGTACACAGCATTGTTAGTGGTGATGAATCGTGGATTTATTGTTATGAACCAGAAAATAAACGACAGTCGGCTGTTTGGGTGTTCCAAGGTGAAGAAAAGCTAACAAAAGTCGTCCATTCTCGAAGTGTTTCGAAAAAGATGATCGCGACATTTGTGTCAAATGTATATTGCAACAATTCCTCTTAATGAGCAAATAATTGTTACTGCGGATTGGTATACCACCATTTGTTAGCCAAAAGTCATCACCGAGCTTCGAAAAATCAACCCCGAAAGAAGAATCATCCTCCACCAAGACAATGCAAGCTCGCACACAGCCCAAAAAACAAGGCAGTATTTAACGGAAGAAAATGTGGAATTATTGGACCATCCTCCATATAGTCCCAATCTAAATCCTAATGATTTCTTTACTTTCCCGAAAATTAAAAACAGACTGCGTGGTCAAAGGTTCCAGTCACCAGAAGAAGCAGTTGACGCATTCAAAAGTGCCGTTTTGGATCTGCCAGCAAACGAGTGGAATAAGTGCTGCGAAAATTGGTTCGAGCCTGTATTAATCTTCGTGGAGAATACTTCGAAAAACAATAAAGTCATTTGAAACTACCTACCGTGTTGTTTTATTTCCATATGCAAAACTTAAAAGACATCCCTCGTAACAGATATTTTGATCACAAATTTAATTAAGCTAAACGATTTACTATATCGCCCTTGTATCGATCCTTGTTTCTTGCAAGGTCATTCAGAAGAGTTTAAATTAATATAAATTGGATAAACAATGATGATTCACTTTGAAATAGAAATAAAATTTTCCATAACAAAACAAATTGCTGCTTAGCATATCCGGTATTGGCAAAGAACTTAGAAAAAACCTTTTTCTGATTCTAAATGTAACAGCCGTTGCTAACAACCATGGTAGTTGAGTAATCATACTTTAACTTTTCATGATGTAGTGAAAATGTTTTCCACGGAAGTTTATCGAGCATTAGTCGCTCCATTTAAAGTAATTTCGAATAATATGTGTCTCTAGAATCTTTTTTTTTGGTTGATCAGCATAATCACTATTCTTTTCTCGTACATGACTGCAACTCTAGGTCTACTAGTCACACATACTCATGAGACGAAAATGAACGAGTGGAAGAAAGAGACAATCTTTTGACGATCACCTGCACATAGGCCAATTAGAAAGCCAGTTTGGGTTAAACCGCTGTCATCGTCAAAAACAAATAAAAATGACAATACTTACGAAAGTCCATCCTGTGAAATAGCAAAACCTATTCTTCTTGAAGTTACTCAACACGATTGAAGAATTAGCCGCGTTGGCCAGAATTGGCCCCTCAACTCGGTCATGCGTGAACACGGCGGCGTACAGCTCTGCTATCAAATTCAAAAGATGTAGAGGGAGGATCATTTTGCCCACGACCGCAGGGTGGACGTTTTTGATTTTTTCCTTAACATGGTTGAATTTTACGTTTCGGTCGTTGAAAAAATTGAAACTGTTCGACAGCATATCTGCGTGTTGCAACTGGTAAATTGGGGACGATTCAACTACTGTTTGTTTATATGGTGGGTGTTTTGGTTTGAAAAGTTTATTGTATATGTATATGGGATGGCAAGTCGTGTTGTTAAGGATATCATATCAATTGGACGACATTGAGAATGTTTTCATACAGGGGGAGTGTATTAACATTATTTTCTCGCGATCTCTGATACCTGAAACATCGACAGGTCCATATGTCTATTCGTCATTGTCAGGTCCTTGGTCAAAGCCCTGTAAATCAGTAGCAAATATACAGTGTGTTTCAAGCAGAACTGAAGCGATAGATTACTCAAGTTGACGTATGGCGGAAATTGCGTGAACTACTAAGAATATCATGCCGTTGCCGCATCATGGCCAACTGAGATTATCTTATGGTAAACCCAAATTTTATTAAGATATTTATAGTAAGAGAAGATACTTCGTGGAATATCTGCATAATCTGGGTTTCTTCTGCAAGATCTTCTCGGTAAGTTTGCAACAAAATACTTAAGATTTGACTAATCTTTAACATATCATATCACTACGCGATGATGTAACCAAAACAAGCAGCAATCAATGAGAGATTCTCTCATAGATGGCTCGACATTCTTTCAAGCACCCGCGCGATTCGGTCATTGATGACTTTTCGTGTACCGAGGCGGTGTTGCCAAACTGACGTGAAATGTTTAAAAAGCGCTACATTTACACTGAGTTGAATGAAGTTCAGTTTTTTCACGTTTTTTTAAAAATATACTTCGTAAGCTGCAAACGGATGATGAAAAAAATGTGACAACAAAAGTAAATTTTTCACGACAAAAAGGAATTTATTGTCCATCACTTGTAATTTAAATTGATCTAAAAACCAATTTCGAGGTTTGTTGTGAAGAAACTGAAATTCTGTTATACTGCATAAATTTCATCAGGACATCGTTAAATCTCTACCCCCCCCCCCCCCCTTGACATGATTTAGATGGTCAATCACCGGATCGAGAGAGTTCATGACCAGAAAATGCAGTCATTGAAATATTTCAGAGGCTATCTTGGTAGAACCATACGTTATCCACAACAGTATTTATAAATTTAGCCAGAAAGAAGCACATATATTCTCCTGCATTGAAGAAGGAAACCTAATTTTGCACTATCGAAATTCCTGACGCATCTACGCAAAACTGTAATGAAAATTTTTTAACAGTGTATGTATGTGCCAACAAAGCCGAGAAGGCCATTTGCCTGATGTGATTTTTCATAAAATCCTATCCTGTATATTTTCTGATTCGATAAATAAATAAAAATCTGAAGAAAAAATGTGTTATCCGTTTATTTCAAACCCTGCCAGAATTTTGGGGCATCTTTTACATATACAGGATGACTTCGAAGTTGAGTCATTTATTTTAACAGTGAGTAGATCTGATCAAAAGAAATGTTTTTTTCCTTTACCATTTTTCTGGTAAAATTAAAGTAACAAAGTTATAGCCCTTTGGAAGTTTGAGTACCGCCCTGTCTCAATAATATCATGTACTCGTGTTTGGCAACAACGGATATAATCCACCTTATCGGTTCATCGCATCGGAAACAAAAAAGCGAAAGAATTTGGAACGATGTTTATTTTATTCAGTTCAGTTATACATACAGTTAGTGTCAGTCGCGTGTGAATAGTGTCTGTTGCGTGGCTCAAACGAAATAAAAAATGGCACATGTTTATGCGGATCGGTTTCCCAATCGAGTGCAACCAACCCCTCGTGCCTTTGTTAATGTAGTACAATCAGGTGACTTAAGACCTCACAGGGGACCTCACGATCAAATACAGGTCCGCACTGAAATACTTGTCGGGAGGATACTTTATAAAACAAGGTAACAATTTTTTTTTATTTTTTTTTATTTTTACACACATATTTTGGTTTATCTTCCTTCTACAATTATTATCTGAAAATTAATGACTCAACTTCAAAGTCACCCTGTATAGCCTACCTGCAAGGTATCGACTGGTTACCGATCACAGACGGAAAATAATTGAAATGTTTGGGTAGCCCCCTATAGTCAACATACTTCTAAAAACCTTCATCTTATCCAAAAAATAACCGTATTTAGAGGCGGATATAAAAAATCATTAATTATACACATGACACGTTCGATAACCCTTACTTATATCGGAAATTATATAGACATCTAATTGACTGCTACTGAAGTACACATATCAATCAGTCGTGTAAATGTAAAAAGTTTATGTTTATTGTGTAATATCGGCAATCGTAATTCCAATTACGGTTTTTTTTTTATACATGTAATAGTATGTATTGGTCATGATTGTTTTAGAAATTTGTGGATTTAAAGGTTGATGGGTAATATTCACTTACACTTTTCTTTTAAACTGTTACTACAAATTTAGCATGAGTATTTAGATAAGATTAGATGCTTCATTGCTATCGAATCATAAATATGGTATACATATGCTTTATTAGTAGCTATATCATAATAAATTATAAATATCTTTAAGCACAGGGACATATACCAAAGACGTGTATAACAAATAGAAAAAATCACACTCTTTAAAGAACCGAAACATGGACACACACCCACAAAGCAGACAATAAATAATTGAATTCAATACCAAATTAAAAAGTATAACGCAAAAATTATAGTGATACTTAAAAGTAGGAAATAAAATGCTAAAAGGTATTCAGATGAAATAAACACAGTAAAAATATATAATACAAATGCAAAGGATTTGCTTTTTGCAAGGTACACTTAGCTACTAAGTAATAGCATTTTTCTGCTAACAAACTCCTTCTAGAACCCCATTGGACATTTGACATTCCTGAGTGTTGCTCGCCAATTATTAAATGTTTTGGTGTAGTTGTAGACTGGTGATTTTTCAAACATTGCGCGTATGCGAAGGTATGCTCAGGTCCTGCTTTGTTCTGGTGTTATAATTAGTATTATAGTCACTGTATTGGAGAAAGGTAGCAACAGGTACATTTTTGAAGAGTGAAAAATCATGACTCAGTGCATGCTTGTCCCAAGGTATGATGTTATTTGATAAATGTGAATGCATCATTGCTTAGTTTAGGTTTGAGGACATTTGGCTTCAGTTTCAACATCGTATAGTATTGGTACCCAGTATAAAAGTAGTAGAAAGTAATTTGAAAGCGGAAGATCTGATCCTAACCTTCATGAGTAGAAGACAAGTTCGACCAACTAAAAAAAATAAACTTGTATGGTTTATCATAGTATCGATACGAAATATGCAAAAAGGGCTAAAGGTGGCCTAATTACCAGGCTCTCAGCTTTTCCTACCTCCGATTACTGCTAAGGGGCACATTTCAATACTCACTGTCATTTACACTGATATGAGAGTACTCCATCATTATCCCTACCTTTTCCTATGATCCTTATAATACTACAAGTAAATATAATAGTATTCCAGATAAGCATGAAGCCATTATTCGCCCTGTTTTCATAAGCAAGTCAGATACCTGAAGGCTGATGGTTCCACCATGCAGTATTTTTTTCGTTTGTATAACGTTGTCTTCCTATATTCTATGTAGTCAATAAGTCAGTACTTTGTAAGTGTGAAGGTTATCGATGCATAAATGGAGGTTAAATTTATTTGGTGCGAAATTTGAAATGTGGAAACTCATTAGAAAGGTATTATTGTTTCTATTTCTTCACAGTCTGTATTTTCTATTCATATGGTTAACTGTAACAATAGCTTTAGCTAAACTTCACCATAATGAATTACACACTGTTGATTTATGTATAAAGATGATATTATTATTTTATAGCCTGAACCAAGTTACAGCATTATTTCAGAATGACTTACTATAAGAATTATTACAGTTGTTTCGAAACATCACAATTCTTCACTTAGGTTTCTGGTTGCCTGGATCTGCCACAAAAATAAACAATAATAAAATAAAGTGGTTGGACTTACTTATCCCCTTTTCTCTAACTATAACCCCGCCTATGGAAATTTCGATTCAACTCTCAGTCGGCGTGGCATCGATACGTTTTAAGTCTTCCCTTTTCCCTACTTACAGTTCTAATTTTCTAATATCTCTAAGTTTAATTTTAACGCTTCTTCTTATCGATTTTAAATATCCCGTGTTGTAGTTCTACTTGTTATACATTTTTTTTTAAAATGGACGATACTTTTGTCCGCGAACTAGAGATAGACCACGTGGACAAAACCACAACTCTTCGTTTTCGTCAAAAACTAGAAGGAGACGTGAATTGTGTGGTTTGGGATGGAGCTATAGTTTTAGCGAAATATTTGGAAAGGCAATGTCTGAAAAACTCCGGCTTTCTGGAAAATCGCAGTGTCATTGAACTCGGCTCCGGCGTCGGATGTGTCGGGATCGTAGCGGCATGTTTAGGGTAAGCATAGGCGTAACTTCGGGGGACTTTGGGGACTGGATGTGGATAAAACTCGTTTTTAAAACGCACAGCATTTAAAAAAAACGTTTATCTGTCCGCAATACCATCGCATGCGAGCTCTTGCAGTTGCAAGACGGCATTGTTTTGTCTGCAAGACAATGTTGCATCCAATTATTTGCACTTGCAAGACGGTCCCGTTTCCTCGATACAAACGCACAAGGTTAACTAACGTAAAGGAATGAAATATTCCGTCATATTCCTAACTTATAATTATATATAAATATAACCACACAAACCACCGGACAGGCCTATGGATGTTCGCAAGCATTGGAAACTTAAAAGTTACTCAGTACAAACTTACACGAATAATCCAACTGATTGATTTTTCTGCAAGACTCGACAGTTGCAAGAAAATGAGAGCTATTTTTTTAGTGTTCATGCGTCTGATCAACATTTCTTTTGCATTTTGCTGACTGTAAAACGAGTATACGCAAATGCGTCTGGCACATTGCAAGCTATGTAAACGGCATGCGGTCATATTTGCTTCTTCTATTCGTCAGGTGCGAGCTTCAAATCGTCTTTGTCAGAGCGGTTCGTATAGGACATTTGCTCTTGGTTGAAGTGCCAGAGGTCAATAGGCCTGGTTGCCCAGATACCAGTCGGTCATACTGAAAAAATGGACGGAAGAGAAAAAGCAAAGCCGGTTGGAAGGGTGCCTCGGCATTGTTAACTAGGACTTGGGCTGAGCGACTTTTGAAGACGCTAATATGTCTTGGAGTGGTTTTCAGTGGTCATCATATTCGAATTCACCGTCCCAATAAATTACACCAGGGTGTACAGAGTTGCTTTTGCTTCTAACGAGTGAAGAAAAAAATAAAATTCTTGCACTGGAAAACTTGATAAAAAAACTTTCCAATATCACCGGCATATCTGCATTATCGACCAAAAACTCGTCTGTTAGGTAATCGAATACGTAGGTTTGGAATCCGATATCAGTTTTTCTCATTTTCCTACTTCAGATAGGGTTTTGTGACACTATATCATTCAACAAACTATAGTCCATTTATCGAAGAAAGAAACTAAACCCTAATATATTCACGCATATGACACGTGATCGGATTCCAGAACGCCGAGCACGTTACAGGGCCGGCGAGACTGCATGCACCGCCGTGTCATCTGTCACTCCACCTTCCTGGTTTGGTATCGTCCCACTATATGGGCTCCACCGATTACAGTTATTTTCTCCGTTTCTTGAAATCGCCTGCGTAAAATTGAAAAATACGGAGTACCATAAAGCTATCTTTTGATACGATTATTAATGTGAAAAAGTATTTCAGGGCGAATGTACTTCTAACAGATCTACCTCAAGCTTTACCTCTGCTGAGACAGAACGTCGAAGAAAATAAATCGAAACTAAAAGGCTGCGTAGAAATTGAAGCACTCGACTGGGGTTCGCCGTGCAAGATAAATTGTACGCCAGATGTCATTTTATTGGCCGAATGCATATACTACAAAGAGGTATCCTCAAAAATGTATTGTTATATATACAGGGTGTATTAACAATTGAGGCTTTCTTTCTCCGAAACGAGTACGTTTTTTTATATCGAAACATCCGCACAGACTGACGCCTGAATACCGGGCACTGCAGGTGCTACCAGGAGCTTTAAAGACACTAATGTTAATCCGATTTTTGAAATGCTTAGAGTTAGTAGAACTAGGAAATAAGAAAGCTAATTAGCTACATCAGCAGCGATAAAGAAAAAAAGAAATTGAAAAAAGTAATTACTATTCCTTTGGTAAGGGATTTCAATCACTACCATATCTTCCTAAATCTGAAACATTTGGGACGTCTTCTACTGCATCCACCTCGACGGCCTTTGCACGGTATAAACAAGCCTACGCAACTCGGGATGAAAACATCCAGGACAATAATCTGAATACACTCGAGAAGCATCAATATCATCTTGTAGCGGCAAACGAACGTCAAATCGTTAACTGCGTCATCGGTGAAGGCATATTCCAATTTCAGGTTTTCAAATTTGATTTGTACACTGGCATATCCAGAAAAATGTTCCGTCTAAAAGACGGATCCAGGCTTTTAGTGAGGGGTCACTTAGTCGTAGATATTATATACAAAAAACGTACTAGCCGTCAGTGCATTTGTACAAACTTTTTGCGGCTGATTTAGATATGACGCACGTCTCACCTTTTCACTTTTCACGTTGGTTGCTGGGCAGGGCTAGCCCATTCAGACTTCTTCGGAATCTAATGTCTCGGTTATCTTAAGGTTTTGGTATATGTGTTACTAAAAAATTTGCTTATTGTTACATAACTATACGCTGTGTAAAGGAAAGTCCCAAGTTTAAGGTTAACCTGTATCAACTAGCTAAAGAAACTTTCTTCTTGTGCTTTACTGACGGTATAAAATCGAAAGCAAAAAGAATCTCCTAACGCTCTCTCTATGTAAGGGAAAATTGGAATGAGTGGCGTAGTGTGCGGAAGTGGGTTCAGGTATGTTGAGATTGAGAAGGTGCTCAGGAGCGACAGAAATTCCTAAAACATTTTGATAAGCCAATCATTCTGAAATTTTTATAAAAACAGGAAGAGCGTTGCACAATTCTTTATGCTTTCGATTGTACATATATTTAAGAATTAAAATATTTTTAGGTGGTAGGCTCTTTAGTATCAACGCTACGTCAACTGGCTACAGAAAAGACAAACATAATATTATGTCAAGAATTGAGAGATAGCCAAAAGCAAAGGGAATGTTGGAAGGAGTTTTTGGAAAATGTGAAAGAATCTTTTGAAGTGAGCTTCATTCCTCAGACAGAACAATCCCTAGTGTACTCTAGTCCCGAAATACTAATTTTAAGGCTGACAAAAAAGTAGGCTAATTTTTATATTGAAACACTGTGCCAGTGATAATTTTCGCAGCATTTTCTGAACCAGTGATCTTTCAAAGTCTGTCTTGTAATCATACATACACTCTATACCGATTTTGTAATCATATAAACTTTGTTGTTGTAATAGGGTCACTGAAACACAAATTAAGTACAAATACATTTATTAACGAATAAATATGTTATATATTAAGTACTTGCTATCACGAATCCATATTCTTACAGGTACACAACATAATTATGTTAAGTAATGGTAACATACCACCTAGATCTGCTAGTGTGTCAAGGTTAATGCGCCTTAGTTTATGCGAGGAAACAAATAAGATATGACACAATCTGAGTTTAGAAAAGCCATAGTTCACTAGTCCCTAGAAATAGACGAATTGGTAGATATGGCGGAGTTTCGCAAAACTTGGAAGCATTTTTAACATACACTACTTTACACTTAAATATCTCAACAGAACAATTCACAAAAAAACTTGGTTTTTGCTTATGGTACTTGAGATCACATAAAAGACACCTTCCCCAAAATATCACATAATCAATTAAAATTTATTCTGGCACCACTCTGTTAGATTGTTGAGTCGCACCTCTCGATTTGTTTGGTACTCTCAAATGTATCACATGTCTAATGTCATCTGCGGGATGTATCAGGTCAGATTTATTTCGCCATTCCCACCTAAAAAAACGGAAATTTTTGAACAAATTTTCACATCACCACTTCGAAGTTGGTAACTATCCAGACGTCAATGGCGAGTAGAACACGTCTACTATACCGCCAGAACCATCGGCCTCTAGCGGTGGTGACTGACGGTGACGCTGCCATTCAGTCTCGTAGTTGTAGATTCGGGTAATAGATGGCGCTTTTCGATATAGAAATCCTTGAGTGAATCTATGGATATAGCGGAGTCCAAAATCGCAAGGGTGTTGAATAATTACCTTTCAGATGCCTCTCTTCTACGTTTTCTATCAACGTATCCAATCACACAGCTAGCTGGGATCCAAAGCAATGCAGTAACCAATACAACAGTACCAACAATATTATCTCGTAGGAAAAGTAGTACTTTGTTGATGTTTATATCTTCTATGATGTCCCAGAATCGTTCGACTACATCTTGCACTGTTTTCTCGCAATGTCCCTGAAAATCTTGTAGTGAAAATATGCTCAAATAAGAAAATAATAGTGGCGCTATACAGTGGTATTATGGAATTCAATAGCCGGAACCTGGGATTCTTTCTAATATTATGTGGAAAAAACCCATAACTAATTATATAAAAGTAATTAGAGTTAATTATTTTCAGCTCCTTAAAAGTGAAACATCTATATATAACACTTAAGAAATTTTTCACTGTGATATTCATATTCAGCGCCCCAAATTACCTCATTGTGCAAAGCTCCGCTCTCATGTAGCCATCGATAGTAAAAATGGATTTTTAGCACCTTAAAGTCGCAAAAAACGCCTAGTTTTGCAATTTTTCGCTAAGTAATTAGATCTACATCATAAACGGGGTCACATACATATAAAACGACCTCGGATTCGATATGGGCAGCAAAGAATACGTGGAATAAGGGTCATTTGAACCGCATTTAAAGCATTTTAGCATATAATTACCATGTATATTCTTACCAAAAAGTCACAAAATGGTCAGTCGGGAACGTGAACGCAACATATCTTACGCTTTTTGGGTCGCTAAAACCGAATCCATGGCCCATTTCGTCCGAAAATGCCTCGTTTTCAAGATACTGGCAAGAATTCAACTTTGTCAAAAAACGTCTAATAAAAAATTTCTAAAAACCCTTGCGCGTCTATGATCGAGATGGAAACTTGTTTTCTGGGTAAATCGGGTGCGTAGATTCCAAATTCGATGTCGATACATCGCTAGAATTGACGGCTAGCCCGGAAAAATAGTTTCTCGTCAACTTTTCACCCTAAATTCCGTCTGATAACACTTAAGAAATTGTTCACTGTGATATTCATATTCAGCGCCCTAAATTACGTCATTGTGCAAAGCTCCGCTCTCATGTAGCCATCGATAGTAAAAATGGATTTTTAGCACCTTAAAGTCGTAAAAACGCCTAGTTTTGCGATTTTTCGCTAAGTAATTAGATCTACATCATAAACGGGGTCACATACATATAAAACGACCTCGGATTCGATATGGGCAGCAAAAAATACGTGGAATAAGGGTCATTTGAATTGCTGTACAACATTTCCATATAGTGTCATCCCGCCATTTCTATCGTTTCCGAATTACATTAACTTTTTTAGTACGTTTCAGGAGCAGATGAGGAGCTATAGGTGTAGTGTCTCCGTGGAAGGTTAAACTAGGACATGGTTTAACAATATTTGAATACTCACGTTATTGCAAAATCCTTGTATGCATGGCGTTCCATCGGCCAAGATGTCAGCAGAGTCGACTGGTGAACATGTTTCGTTGATGTTCGACCTACAGCATCTTTTGCAAGCACTTTCAACTGAAAAATATATAATTTAGCGTGTCTGTATCCGGCAAATTCGGGAGTTATGACAATCCCAAATAGCGCGGACGTAAAAGTTAGCGTTCGCTTTTTTGATTTACATAAGGTAAGTGTTAAATGAGGTTAACATAAGGTTTGCCTCTCACAAACAGAATATGTATTTGAAAATATACTATTGAACCCTCAGGTACCAATTCTTCTGTGAATCCATCGATTTAGATTTCGATGAGAAATTATGCGTTTTCGCGTATAGACTAATTTGCAAAAATCGTAATGGGTAAAAATATGGCAATTTTCAGACGATTCATGAATTAGTCTTCCCTGTTTCTACTTACTGATGTCACACATGCAACTTTGCAACCCTTGAGTCTCGCAAAATGGCACGCATTTCCCAGCCTTGCACTTTCCTCTTTCCTGACAATCGGTATTGTCTGCCATGGGCGGACTCCGTGGACAGTCGGCCTGTTGCCCAGTGCATCTAGATTCCTGTTCGCAAGTCGCGTATTGGGCGTCCCTGCATTTCGCGCCGGCGCGTACGAATTGACAGTTCTGACAGCAGGGCGAGTTCTTGTCACTAGAAGATTTAAGATTCAAGAACAATGCTCGGCCAGCGCGCAATCAATTTTTAAGCGAAAATTACCCGGGCAGCTAGGCCTATTCCAATACGGCCCAACTCACCTACACATAGCTTTAGGCCGTAGCTTGCAATCTTTATCGCAGCAGGCATCGTTGTCTTCAGTGCCAAGTAAACCAGCATCACATTCTTCATCACCTTCGACCCTCAAGTTACCACAGAAGCTTTCTTCCGGTTCTGAGAAGCATCTGCCTGATTTGGCTTGTAACACTTTACGGATCGACCTCAAACTACACGGTGAAAATTTCTACAAAATGGAAACATACGTGGTTCAAATATCAATATTTTTGGTGAAAATAGTTCTGAATGACAACAGATTCAGTATTATAACATTCAAGAATCAACCCTCACATACCTTATTATTGACATCGTATCCGCTAACACTGTACGTATACATAAGGTAGGAACCACCTTGACTGGCACTAGGTGAACATTCTGGAATATCAGGATCATGTTCTGAACCCCAATTGTGACCGAATTCATGCGCGGTCACTAGATCTGCCTCCCTAGTGATAACACGTTGCCCGTAATGGTTACGGCTAGAACTCAGTCCCGAGTTTAAGTAGAGGGTGTAACCATTTTTAAAGTATTCTAGAGAATTGGAATAAGCCAGGTCAAAATATTGAATCTTCTTTTAGAGGACTAGTTTTAGGAAGGAGTGTCAATTGCGACATAGTGAGTTTTATAGATAAGTACAAAACGTCACTGAGGTCATTCGTTCATTATCTGTGATTTTATTTCTTAACCAGGCAGAAAATAAATAAAGACAGGTGATTTTTATATTTTTGAAACTATTTTGTTTTTTTTTTGTTTCGTGTTCCATGAATTGACACTCCTTGTGGTAAGCTAGGATTTCATTGCAGGATATGCACCTATCTTTATCTCATCATTGATTAACGCGTGATTCAAGAAGATGCTCAAACGTATACTTAGGCGTTCATATACAATTTTCATCGCCACAGAAGTCTTGTCAATGACAACGATGTCCAATTTTCGTTTGTGGGGTTGGAAGTCAAAATGTCAGAAATAGATGCGAAACAGGCAGGTTTGATACAGAAGAAACATATTTTCAACGACTTTCTAACGTCTTAACGTCTACTGACGCGAATAGCCGATCAGTAATTGACATCTTTGTTTATCATCTAAGAGACGATCTCCAACCTAACATGCATCATTTTTTTCTAGCTTTCCAGTTTACCCCCGATCCTTCTCAAAGTGTGCGTTGTTGACCTACGGGACCTGTCAATACCATCCCGCTCTTCAGATGTCATAAGGTCGTGCGTTTTCAGAAGTACTGATGTAGCATACGACCCAAAGCCAACCTACTCTTCAATTTTGATCGCAAATCCCCCAGTTGGACATAATTAATTCATTCTCAAAATGGGCAGTAGACGAAATATATTTGAGAACCTCCGCGGTATAAGTAATAAAAACAGACTACATTTTCCTTTTAAAGAAAATTACTTATTCAACCTCTCTCGTAATAATTCCCAAGATTTTGTATTCTAAGAATTTTTCAACGTTTGAAAAGGAAATTCCATTATCTGAGGAAAGTCTGAGAGGTGGCAACGCTGGCACCTAATGGTGGTGGTATATAGTGTCCCGGTACGTATACTTATTTCCGCGTAAGTTCGTCTGGGTATCTTCTAGTGAAATATGTTATTCAATACTATCATCAAGTTATAACCATAAAAACATTACTTTTTATATTGTTAATAAGCATACGCATCTTACTCTTATACAAAATCAACATTAGAACATGTCAAAGTTAAAAAACTAAGCTACAGTTATGGTCAAAAAACGGGTGCATAATTCTGCAATGAAATCTTCAACGTTCATTTAACAATAATTAATATCCTATAAGACTTACAAACTATTAATACTTCTTATCATAATACAAGCTGCAAATCCAAAACGGCACGAGCAATTTAAACGCATGCTTTGAAAAATGAGTGACACAAAACCCAAATTAACATAAATCAAGCTACCCTATACACAAGATCCAAAAGGACTGCACTATTATACAAAAAGATGAGATGGAACAACCTTTCTGAGATAAGAATTGCGAAAATAAATCGATATGCCAAATGTTCATCATAATTTATACCATATTAGTCGTATCAGCAAGTCCGTAGGTAAAATACATATCTGCTAACTCGGAATTTCACGTTTATGCGTACTTGTCAAAATGCCATGAAAATATCTAGAACAGTGTTAAAGTTATGATAAGTTAACGAATGTTTTCTTAAAATTTTAACACCCTGTAGCTCAAAGAGGTTTAGGACATTATGCTTATATAAACTGTTCTTCCTAAAATGAGATAAGGAATCATAACCTGTATTTTCAGCCATCTATTAAAATTATACCCTACATTTCAAGTCGGGTAGGAATAAAATAAGATAAACGGTCCTGAGTTTTACACGGTTCATTATTGCCAACTCTACAGACCTTAATAAACTTTAGTAAACGTCAAAACGGAATGGATACCTACTCGTGAAAAAGGCCATACATATGTCCTATGATAATGGCGTCAAAAACCGTTAAAATACCTCTAATTGCATATACATGTTCACTTCAGCAAGATTAAATTACGGTGGACCTCCGGTAATCCGACAAACGAATTTGTCGGATTATAGAGCACCGCCTAAGACCACCTATAGTCCGGAATTTTTTACAAAAGAGTACCTTGTAATCCGACAAATTACATATCCAATTGTAAGATTATATATGTTATGTATATGTATGTACTTTGAAGTACAAATCATACATAGTTTATGTATGTCGAATTTAGTAAATTAAATAACAATAGAGAGCTTACGTTTTATTATAAAATTAAGCATAAATGCACATACATATGTACCAAAATAATCAAGAATTATTAATCAAAATCATTAATGAATTTATCAAATTATGAAGCTTGGAAATATTCATCAATTTTTTTTTTGTTTAAGGTTGTTATAACGCGAGATCAGAGCTTTGTTTCTCAGTCTTCTCAAAAGTAAAAGTTCGTTGTAGGATGTACCATTCTATTCAGCCCATTGTAAACCTAGCTCAAAGGCATTAATTGCGTCTTGTGCTGTGACTTGTGGAGCAGTTGCAATCACCTCGTCGTTATTTCCCTGATTGTTTGTTGTATAATTAGAAACCTCTTTTATAATCTCTTCGACAAACATTTCATGAAAAACATTTTCCTCTTTATCCATTCCACGGCACCAGATTTCCAAATCTTCCGGACTTATCTGTGTTTCAGTAGCGACTTGTTCTATAACTTCAGAAGTAACACTGATTTGTGGAACGTTGCTAGGAGTGGTGACTATATCTGGCCATAACTTTTTCCAAGACGATTTAATAGTTGATAAGGGTAACGCATTCCATGACTGACAAAGAGCAAAAACCAAGTCTTTCATATTAAATTCTTTTTAAGTTTTTCCTATTGGTTGGTCTTTTGATACGGCTCTCAGAAGTAGGTTTTTCTTATAGTCTTGCTTGACAAACTGAATGATATTCTGGTCCATTGGTTGAATCAGTGCAGTACAATTTGGCGGAAGAAATATCGCAGTGATGCATTTATCCTCAGTTGTTAGTTCTTCTTCAGACGGATGACCGGGAGCGTTGTCAAGAAGCAACAACACTTTTTTGGGAAAATTATGATCTTTTAACCATTTTCTAACTTCAGGTACGAAGCATTCATCAAACTACTTTTTGAAAAGGTCTTTTGTCATCCATGCACTTTTTTGTCCGTAATAGTGTACAGGTAAATCAATGTTTTTGAATGCCCGTGGTTTATTAGATTTCCCAATGACCATCATCTTAGCGCGTGTGCCCGCAGCGTTAGCACATGGTAGTATGGTTACACGCTCTTTACATAGGTACTTTTCGTCCAGGTACGGATTTTTCGTTACAAGAAACGAAAGTTTTGTTAGGCATCACACGCCAAAAAAACCCTGATTCGTCTACATTGTACATCTGTGACGGGTCAAGATTTAAATCGTTCACCTTTTGCAAAAATCTTAATTTAAAGGGCTCTATGCAGGTGGCATCGTTAGAAAGTTTCTCTACTGTAATAGTCATTAAACGTATGCCATGACGACTTTTAAAACGTTCTAGCCATCCTTTGCTGGCCACAAAATCATCTTTTTTTGTTATTTCCTTATAAAAAAAACTTAGTTTTCATGGCCAACATGGGTCCTGAAATTGGTGAATGCCTATTTCTTTCCTGAAGAAACCGCATGTACATAGCTTCTTCCACTTCTTGATGTTCAGCTTTCTTGAGTGTCTGTCTCTTGCCTGGCCCGCAGTCAGTAGTTGACACGAATTTCTTGATCTTCTCGTGGTTTCTTTTAATGTCATAAATTGTAGATCGGCTTACGCCGTATTCACTTGCTAAACTACTGAAAGTTTCATTGCGATTTAAGCAGTCTAAAATATCACATTTTTCTTTAATTGTCAATGTTTTGTGCTTTCGCTTCTGAGTTTGTGTTGACATTACTAGGTACTTCACTTAATACACAATGAATAAATAGTAATCAATGAACGCACGCTAGGCCGTACCGCTATCACCAGTAGTCCAATTCAAACTAAGTAAAACAATGCTTACGCGTCGAGCACGATAGCGGTGGCACGTACAAGTTTTAACCTGTTCAAACCTGCGTGATCTACATTAGCAAAGATTGTCAAATACTTATGTATGTAATACATATTCAAAGACATGTCGGATTACAGGGGGCGCCGGATTATCGGGGGTCTACTGTATTATTAATTTCCATCGTTCCATCTCTTCCTTATTTGTAAACCCTCGCTTTGAAATGAGTTTCCCAAGCACACAAAACAAAATAACCTCAAATAAAAGAATGGCATACAGGAGAGTTGAAATTCAAATACCTGGGGTACAAATGCCCCCCACCGAATTGCGTCTCGGCGAACCCACGTATGCTAAGCCCAATATTCCACCTTCAAACTTCAAGTCGGTGAATAGATGAGCTAAGCAGAAGTCTTTGTGAGTATACTCCCTGCTGAACACCTGCCCAATGATTGGTTAGTAGAAAATGGAATGTTATAAAAAGAAAAGTTAGTATATGCATCGAATGAGTATAACCAAGTTACCATAAACGATAGTTCTAATGGAAGCTCCTGAGTGGGAAATATTTTCAGCTTTAGTATACATCATTGCTCTACTACTTCATCACAAAGCCTGTATCATGATTATAGTTTTACTACGAAAAATTGCATAGGAAATACCTGTAGGACGTAATTTCATAAAAATTACCTAGGCCAGGTAGAATACTCGTATTCCGATGTTTTGCAGAATCTTATTAAAAAACGACCCCTTTTGACGAATCTGCATGTTGCCAAGCCCAAATTTGCATCAAAGGTTCCAAAATGTTTTTTTGTTTCGGAGTTGTTTGGATTTCCAGGACGTTCTCAACAAAAAAGATGTTTTAGGACATTTTTCTAAAAATTTTAGGGATACAATATTTGGAAAAGTGCAAAATATACCATTTTCTACCCCGAAAAACAGTATGAAAAAAAGAAAATGTTGTAAAACATCCTAAATATTCTTTAAATGTCCATTAACAAAATCCCAAAGCTTTATAAGGTTCATCGTTATAATAAACCTTTTTTGGAGATCTCTGTCACACTCGTGAAGAATATACATTGTGTGCGTGCTTGAATAACAATTAAAAAAAGTTGCAATAACAGTGCCCCCTAACATGTCTTGGAATTTTGTTAATCGCTGCTTAAAGAATATTTAGGAAACATTAAAACCTTTGTTTTTTCATATTCTTTTTTGGGCTCGATAATGGCATATTTCGCACTTTTTCAAACATTGTATCACTTATATCTCAAAAACTATCAACTCGAGAAGACTTCTAGAATAAATTTTTTTCTTCAGCATGCCCCAAAAAATCTAAAAACACTTTGACACCAATTTTATGAATTTCTGTAAAAACATTGGTTAAACAATTTTTTGACACAAATTTGGGTTTGGCAACATGCATATTCGTTAAAAGTGGTCCTTTTTTAACAATATTATGTAATCTTATCAAATGTTAAGACTACCCAGACTGTATAACTATTTTCATCTCTAGTCAGTGGCATATTCTTGGAATGAAACAAGGGTAGTTTCTTATGCTATTAGCTTTGTTTGGGTTTTACTTGGAACTTCCCCAGAACCGTTATGATTGTGCCAATATTATAGCCAATGCCTATCAGTATAAGTTCTGACATAAGAATTTACTGCACAGAATCAGGATAGTTCTGGGATAGTTTGTATTATAGAATCCGAACAGGGCTATTTATACAGGGTGCGGCAGAGAGGATGGACGGTTTTAAAAAAATCATAAAATAGTTAATTTTTACTTGAAAACAAATTTATTGATGGAATCAGGTTCACAAGGAAATAGCATTTGAGACAGTCAAGTGTGGAAAATCACATCAGGCATGTGGTGGCCGAAATCGTTGATGCAGTGCTGGAGGCGTTCTTGGAAGTTCGCGTAGACTCTCTCCAACATCGCTCTCTTAACTGGGGCGACTTCCACGCAAATTTCGTCCTTCAATTCGTCCAGAGTTCGGGGCTTGTTCGCGTATACTCTAGCCTTGAGGTGTCCCCATAAGAAAAAATCGCATATGGATAAATCTGGGGACCGAGGAGGCCAATGAACATCGCCAAACCTGGGAAGAGAGGGCGAATAACGTCCATGGATGCTCGGGCTGTGTAGGCGGTCGCCCCATCCTGCTGGAACCACACACGTGGGATTGGAACACGTCGCCGTCATAATTCAGGGTGAAAGAAGTTGGTGATCATGTCGACGTAGCGCTCTGAGTTCACGGTAACATCACGTCTTCGAAGAAGTAAGGGCCAATGATGCAAGTTTGCGATACAGCGCACCAAACCGGTACTTTTGGGCTGTGCAGCGGTCTTTCGTGTAAGTGTTGCGGGTTTTCATTAGCCCAATAACGACAATTCTGCTGGTTAACCATGCTGTTTAGGTGAAAGTGGGCTTCGTCACTCATAAACAAAATGAGGTTCTCATTTTGATCGATCAGTGCTTCCATCTCACGTGCGAAGTTCATTCGTTGTGCATAATCTCCGGGCTGTAACTGTTGCACAACGGCCAACTTGTAGGAGTGAAAGCGGAGATCCATATGCAAAATTCGCCTTACCGAACGATCACTAAGGCCAAGTGCAGCAGCATGTTTCCGGGCTGATTGAGTCGGACTGCGAAGAAAGACCTGTCGAACGCGTTCAACATTTTCAGGAGTTCGAACTGTTCGCGGCGCTCCTCTTGGTCTTCTGTTGATCAGTTCACCACTCCTTCGAAGTGATTCAACCCAACGAAGGATGGTGTTTCGAGAGGGAACATCTCTATTCCGATGAATGTTGAAGTGGCGACGAAACTCACGCTGTACGACGATGACAGACAGATTATTTCGGACGAAACAATCATAGGAGAAAACGCGGTGTTCCACCGACCAAGGCTCCATAACGACAACTGGTAAAATAATGCTAGGATCTCACGAGTCAAACGGCACCCTCCCCACCTCTCTCGTAGACGGAGACTACTACCCCGTACTCTCTGCCGCACCCTGTATATGATTACAGAGAATGGAAAAACTTAGTATATGGTGCTTCCACCAGAAACTATACTTGGTGCTCTAGCAGTGTATGGAGTTAAAGTTAGAAGAAACGACGAAGCAACATGTGGACATTTATTGTCCTATTTTCTAATCAATTTTTCGTATATTAATCATATATAGGCGTAACGCAGACGGAAAAGAAAATAAAAATTATTAACCCTTGCTACAGACGCCTCCTTGGGTGTTCCTTCTAGGCGATGCTATGTAAGCCAAGCCTAGAACTACAGAATTACTAGCTGTAAAGGTTTGATGGGTGAACAGGTGCGCCAAACAGAAATTTTGGTGCTGGGGATCTCTGGAGAATACCTACGGGAATATTAGTTACAGTTCTAAAAAGAAGGCGTCAAGTAGGTTGACTGCACGTCCTACGCAACGCCGCAATCAGTTCGTAAAATATTAAGTTCAGCACAATTTAAATCCACCAAAATGAATGTTGTATTATTAAGAATTCTTGTGTAGCTCAAGTTATCTGTATTAAGATTTTTAAATTATGATGTTATTGAAAATATTAAAATTATATATTATTGTGCTGGTTTTGAGTAGAAATAGCTTGAGAGGTGATACATTTATTAAATTATTAAATATTAGAAGTTATGCAGAGTGCACTTGAACATTTTAAATATATATATGAGCAGTAGTCATTGCCATTGCGACCGACCAGTTGGACAAGAAATACAATCAATTGTTAATTGCGAAATTGGCAAACTTTTTTAACTCTTTTAATGGTAATCTCGAACTTTCGGCTTCTCTATGGAGCCATCTTCAGGAGCTAGCTTTATATTTGTGTTTTCAGCTCCTGAAGATGGCTCCATAGAGAAACCAAAAGCTCGAGATTGCCGTTAAAAGAGTTTACTAAGGCCTAAAAAAATTTTGCCAATTTCGCAATTAACAATTGATTGTATATATATATATATATATATATATTCATATATAATATCTCTTTTTGTTGTTTACCTCCAGCAAATTCCTAACGTCCCACTTGTCTCTGATCATATTGTAGTGAGCCTCGCCGCTTTTTATACGTGTAGGATCGCTGTGTACCACGATCTTTTTGATAACAAAGCCCATACCTTTGAACCCATCTACTTCTTGTCTATCCTGCCAGCTCGTATCGTTGTAAATTTTGTGCACACGATCGATCAAACTTATCTAGAAGAAAAACATAATTCTGATACACAAGATGTCAGTGTGTGTACTTCGAGATTTAAATTTGGCGGAATTACTTTCCAAAGCGCAGACCCGAACCGGCGAGTCGATGTATTGGGAAACTTAACTCAAACGCTACCGAAAATGTAAATAGCATGCTGCCCGCCCAGAATCTCTTTGGTAAAGTAGAAGACAAGTTGCAGATCAGATCCCGGTGTTCGGTACTTACAAGATAATTGATGGTAGTCTTGGTATTGCTAGCACCCATTTCTTGAAAAAACCTATAATCCGCCACCAATAACAATGGACATCTGGTCTTTGTAGGTGTATACTCATACTGATCAATTTGCCTTTTCTCACGGTGATGTTGGTCTGCTGTCCATTTATCTCTTTCATAATCCTCATCATCATCATCTGTCTCTAGTTCAGCTCCTTCTTTGACATATCCGCATATTTTTGGTCTAGGTTCCTCTTCATTTTCACCAGGATGGTCCCAGCTGAATTTCACGTCTGACTGTTTGTATGTGATCATTGTTTTGTTGTCAAAGTCAGATAAGTGTCTCCAAGATGGCTGAAAATTATGAGGCTGTCTCAAATGTGGGTTGAGTGTTTCACCTCCTCAGTGCAACCACATAAAAACCCAGGTTGGTGATATATGATCCAGGCATTATTCGTTTTACTGATAAGGTAATATTCCAGTATAGTGGTGCTAGGTGAGAAAGAATAACAAAAATAAGACTAACTTTAATTAAATTATAATTTTCATATACAGGGTGATTCACAAGTAGAGACCAAAAATGTAACATCGTACACAGGACTGCATTTTAAGGGGAGTCTTCTCTGTAACATTTTTTAGCTCGAGGGCTTCATGAAAAAGATACGGGGTGTTGAGATTAAAAAATAATATTTTTATTTGGAAAAATAATGCCATTGATCCTCTGTATCTCCGCCATTGGTGCACGTTAATTTTAAGTAAAGACTTTTGAATGTGGACTATACCACATACCAAATTTTAGTTCGTTCCAGTTGACAGTTTTGGAGATATTAAAAAAAATTGTTTTTTATTTTTAAACTTCAACACTCCATCTTTTTAATGAACCCCTTGAGGAAAAAATGTTACATAGAAGACCTCTTTAAAACGCTGTCCTGTGTACAATGTTTCATTTTTGGTCATGACTTGTGAATCACCCTGTATGTAAAATCACCTCTCTCCAAATTAAAGGAAATATAGAGTTTGTCATGCAAGTTTCTTTTGTGATATTTCAGGTAAATTCTAATGAATAAAGTTGTATTTATTTAAACAAGACACTCTATTCAATAGCACTGACAATCTGTATACAGAAGAAAACAGCATAAAAAATGTTATATTAGACAACTACTTATTAGTTTTTTTTTCTAAAAGCACGTACAAAAAAGTTAGGAGGAAATTTTTTAGCAGGACGCATTGTTTAAAGCATCTGGCAAGAATTATGGCTGTCGGAAAGTATCTGGCAGTGCTGTATATCACTTTGTAATAACTTTTTCAAAGTGAATTATAGGACTCAGTTATCAGAATTAAAGTAAAGTTGGTCTTACTTTTACTTCACCTTTCTCACCTGGTACCAGAAAATCGCCTCTCTACTCAACTGAGCAGATATTGGAAGTACTTACATACATATACAGTGGACCCCCGATAATCCGGCCACTGTCTAATCCGGCGCCCCCTGTAATCCGACATGTGTTTGAATATGTATTACATACATACGTATTTGACAATCTTCGCTAATGTAGATCACGCAGGTTTGAACAGGTTACATCTTGTACGCGCCACCGATTTCGTGCTCGACGCGTAAGCATTGTTTTACTTAGTTTGAATTTGACTACTGGTGATAGCGGTACGGCCTAGCGTGCTTTTATTGTTTACTATTTATTTATTGTGTATTAAGTATAGTACCTAGTAATGTCATCACAAACTCAGAAGCGAAATCACAAAACATTGACAATTAAAGAAAAATGTGATATTTTAGACCGCTTAAATCGCAATGAAACTTTCAGTAGTTTAGCAAGTGAATACGGCGTACGCCGATTTACAATTTATGACATTAAAAGAAACCACGAGAAGATCAAGAAGTTCATGTCAACTACTGACTGCGGGCCAGGCAAGAGACAGACACTCAAGAAAGCTGAACATCCAGAAGTGGAAGAAGCTTTGTACATGTGGTTTCTTCAGGAAAGAAATAGGCATGCACCAATTTCAGGACCCATGATGGCCATGAAAGCTAAGTTTTTTTATAAGGAAATAACAAAAAAAGATGATTTTGGGACCAGCAAAGGATGGCTAGAACGTTTTAAAAGTCGTCATGGCATACGTTTAATGACTATTACAGGAGAGAAACTTTCTAACGATGCCACCTGCATTGAGCCCTTTTTATTAAGATTTTTGCAAAAGGTGAACGATTTAAATCTTGACCCGTTACAGGTGTACAATGCAGACAAATCAGGGCTTTTTTGGCGTGTGTTGCCTAACAAAACGTTCGTTTCTTGTAACGAAAAATCCGTACCTAGACGAAAAGTAAGTAAAGAGCGTGTAACCATACTACCATGTGCTAACGCTGCGGGCACACACGCGCTTAAGATGATGGTCATTGGGAAATCTAATAAACCACGGGCATTCAAAAACATTGATTTACCTGTACACTATTACGGACAAAAAAGTGCATGGATGACAAAAGACCTTTTCAAAAAGTGGTTTGATGAATGCTTCGTACCTGAAGTTAGAAAATGGTTAAAAGATCATAATTTTCCTCAAAAAGCGTTGTTGCTTCTTGATAACGCTCCCGTCTGAAGAAGAACTAACAACTGAGGATAAATGCATCGATGCGATGTTTCTTCAGCCAAATTGCACTGCACTGATTCAACCAATGGACGAGAATATTATTCAGTTTGTCAAGCAAGAAAAACCTACTTCTGAGACCCGTATCAAAAAACCAACCAATAGAAAAAACTTTAAAAGAATTTAATATTAGATTTGGAAATCTGGTGCTGTGGAATGGATAAAGAGGAAAATGTTTTTCATGAAATGTCTGACGAAGAGATTATAAAAGAGGTTTCTAATTATACAACAAACAACCAGGAAAATAACGACGACGTGATTGCAACTGCTCCACAAGTCACAGCACAAGATGCAATTAACGCCTTTGAGCTAGGTTTACAATGGGCTGAAGAGAATGGTACATCCTACAACGAACTTTTACTTTTGAGAAAACTGAGGGACAAAGCTCTGATCTCGCGTTATAAGAACCTTAAACAAAAAAAAATTGATGAATATTTACAAGCTTCATAATTTGATAAATCCATTAATGATTTTGATTAATAATTCTTGATTATTTTGGTACATATGTATGTGCATTTATGCTTAATTTTATAATAAAACGTAAGCTCTCTATTGTTATTTAATTTACTAAATTCAACATACATGAACTATGTATGATTTGTAGTTCAAAGTACATACATATACATAACACATATAATCTTACCATTGGATATGTAATTTGTAGGATTACAAGGTACTCTTTTGTAAAAAATTCCGGACTATAGGGGGTCTTAGGCAGGGCTCTATAATCCGACAAATTCGATAGTCCGCCACTGCCCTGCATAATGTTTGTCAGATTACCGGAGGTCCACTGTATAGGCTATTCAATGCCCCATGTTTTGTGTTTTGGAAATGAGTAATACTAGTCAGCCCTGGGATCTTACACTATCTGCTTTTCTAACTGACCTCTATGTGGTACACATCATCTGGCAAATGTATGCTTCCTGTCATGACTCCCTCATCCAAGTGCATATTGACATGAGACTCAAGTTCTCCGAAAACCCTTCCATGGAGAAATGAGTCTCTATCCACATGAACTGTTGTTTCCTTTCCATCCCCATCTACAGCGTAGGCTTTGAAGTTGGAATGCAAAATGTCAGTTTTAGGAGTTAGGATCAGTCGAAAGTCACGACCATGTGTATGAAGATGCACTTCTTTTATGTGGTTGTAAGGATGGGAGCTTTCTTTTAAGCCTCGTTTTACTATTTTGTGCGCCAAGTCATCGGCATGTATTGTTTCAAAATATCGCAGGTTTTGGTGTATTGAACCTAAATAACAATAAACACAATGAATATGAATCAAATCAACGTATTTGTAATACTTTAACAAAAGTTGCTAAAGTTCATTAGCTTGCAAATGAAGAAATTCAGTGATGATGAGAAACACATTTAAAAACCTTGTAAACAAATAGTAAAGGCTTTATGGGTGGTAAGCTAGTGAAACTTCAAAAAAAGAGTACAGGTGTATGAAAAACAAGTGGGGCATCAATGGTTTAAAGTTCATAAATATGTATTTAATTATACAAACTTTACAACCTATGTATACTTGAAACAAGAATCACATGCATAAGAATACTTGCCTAGAGAATACTGGGTTGCACAAAGGAAAATCAGTAGTGATATTATCACCTTTTGCATCATTTCTATGAATTGGTCTATGCAGAAACTTCTTGGTTTAATGATTATTATTTTCTGCAAAGACTCAGGGCACTGGTCAAATAAGAGGTCAATTGGTTTCCTGTGAACCACATTTAACTACTTTTTCTATACATTGTTAAATAATATTCATGAATTATTTCCTAATAATGAATAAAGTGGGATCATATGATCACGTTTTTGCAACAGCAAGGATAATGCATGATGCAATCCTAGATTACAACAGCCAACCTATCGTATCTACAACATATATGAGAAAAATTCGTAGAAATCAGGTGTTTTATCAATTTTCTATTTTGAAAGCTATTTGCTATTTAAAATCAAAACAAAGACATTTCAATATGTCAAAACTGCGTCAAAACACTGTCAAAAATACATAAATCAAATTCAAGCGGATAATAACCAAATGGAAATGGTATTTACTGTTCAAGCGAGTTGGTTATAAGATCCGTGACGTCACGACTCAGCTGTTATATGTCATAGTTATCACCGCAAAATTGTGGTATTTACCCAACTCAAGAGTAGTTTTATATTTCCGGTTATTATTTGAAATGTGACAAGTTAGAATTTTGCCGGGTATTGGATATTGTTATTGTACTTCAGCTTCATTTTTGAGAAAATTGATACAGGCTGACTTCTGTTTTACCATAAAGTGGAGCACCTTATAAGTTATACTCATTACGGTTGTTGGGGACACTTTAAATGTAGTTCCTATACTTAACAAAGTATCCTGTGTAGCCATATACCACAAGAATATTAAAATATGGCCATATAAACTCACTAGATGATATCCACCTGTATACGGTTTTGCTAATTTCTTTTTTCATCATTTCTGCTGAATCAATAAATGTTTTCTTTGACATGCGGAAAAATTTAGAGAATTGAAAGTTATCATAGCTACAAAGCCATGGTTCTATCATTAAAAAAAAATCTGAAAAAAACATTTCTTCCATGAATATTATGAAAGGTTTCTTATTTAAACTTTCCATATACAGTTGTAGACGAAAAAGAACCGATTATTAAGTGATAATAAAAATAATCAGAGATGATATACGCGCTTTTCTAAAATAAACAACTTGCAACAAAACCGCGGTTAAAACCAACGCGTTCAAGCGATTCGTGTAACTGACGTCATCAA